AGCTCAGTACCATAACTGAGCATTTCTATCTGAACCATGGATTCTGACTTCCAGGGGTTCATACATTACAAACCTAACAAGAGGATTCTGGCAACTTGTGAGCGAGAGCTTTTGATTACATTCGTCCTTTTCAGAATCAGTTTTCTAGTTGGAACATGTATGGATGAATTACTTTTATCTATTCTGGACAACCCCGACCACCCTCTTCGCCCCCTTCTGGACAGGTAGCGGAGCTCCTTCTCACATAGACTGATTCAGCGCCGCTGTCACAAGGACAGGAACAGGAAATCCTCCCTGCCCAGAGCAATAACCCCATACAACACCTCGCCTCTGTCTGGCAGAGAGCATTCTCAGCTCTCTGCTCTGTAAAATGCTTTGTTTTTCAGTTTGCACATTTTGTACACTTAGTTTATTTGTTTTTATTTTTTAATAGTATTTAACTTTAGCCCTTTCTTGTTGTGACGTGGTGTTTTCTTTGTTGCTGCTGTATCGCAATAGTTTCCCAGGTCTGGAATAAATTAAGTATTTCTATTCTATTCTATTCTATTCTATTCTATTCTATTCTATTTTATTCTATTCAACAATACACTGTGCCACTAAGGCCAATTAATAGTAAAGTAAATTCTGTCATTGTCAAATCCCCCACGAGAGTCTGAACCGCAAGCATGGCATGTGCCAAACAAACATAAATGGAGCTTAAATTGAATGTTTATCATGAGGGGACAGTATTATGGGAAGATTCTCGTGCTATCCACTCCTATGTAATTCATATTTAGATAGCTGTAGGTGAAGTAGTCACTACTTGACTTCAAACATGCTTTCCGTCAATAGTGCCCAAACGCAGTAATGTCTCCAGAAATCTTGTGCTGTGTCCGCCCACTGTGCTCGACACACCTTGACAATAATCACATTGACTTGACACATCTGTAGGTGGCCTCTATATCCTGTAAAAAGTGCAAAATCGCATTCGTACTTTCAGAAGCATCCACCGGAGCTCCATGTGTATTTTTGCGTTCTGTGTGAGGGGCAGTGTGGACGTCTTTGTGGCAGATTGATGCACACCTTTTGTAGAGTGAATAGAACCACTTGTGCATCCTCTGTCTCCTTTAAAAGTAACCATGAATTGGCCTTCATCGTGTTTGAGCGGAGTTGTAGGTGAGCTGGTGGTACTCAAGGTGCAGTGAGTGGGTGGAGAAAGAGGTGGGGACTTCAAAGAACTGCACATGCCAGAGGAAGCAACAGTGTGGAGGTATTTCAAAGCAGGAAAGGATTGGTTTAATGGGAAAAAAGAAAAAACCCTAAATAAACACTAAATATGTTACTTTGAAAACACAAAAATGAGTTTTTACAGGTTTAATTAATAACCAAAGAGGAGTATAAAATGTCAAATATTAAGATATTTATCTGAGGATTTCATATGAGAATATTAACAACGCTGCAGTGCTCATTTACTGAAAGAAATGGGGGTTTTCCTATTATTATTTCCTATATTACTGTATATAGGCCTGCCTCGATTTTACTTTTCACACATCTTTGCGAGTGTGGATACGATTCTGAGAAGAATCAAACATAGCATAATAACTGTGAGCACTTCAGACACATCAGTTCAGTAAATATGACTGAGTGCCCAGTCTGCAGTCTGGAGAATTGACATTTGAATTAAGCTGTCGTACTACTGAGGCTCCGCCAGTGTGTCTGCGTTCATTGATAGCGACGCTCTCTCCATAGATTGCCACGCGCATTGATTCAGAGCGTGCACTTCACGGGGGGAAAAGCCCCTTGTGATTTTTCATTGATAAGAAACTGCCATATCATATTCAGCGCTTTAAATTGGCAACATCATACACCTTTCAGCATTTAGAAAGAGCTCTATATTATTCATACAGTAAAGAGGCTGACCCATTTAATGACATGCAGGAGGCATACATGCATGCACATGTCACACGCACAGTCGCAGTCCTCTCCGGGGACCGTGCACCCTGGTTAAACGTGAGCATTACACTATTTCAGTGGGGTTTTTTTGACAAGACTACTGAAGTGCAATGATTTCAATTTTTTCACGAGAGTGTGCGTGATCCATTTTTTTTCTTGCTCACTCATACATACATGTGTGTCTCAGCACACACAACTCCAAAGCTCTAAGCCTCCCTCTATAATGTCAGGATGGGAGTTAAAAGGCCTGGATTATTACGTAATTCTTATTCTTTCTCTCTTATGCACACACACACACACACACACATACACTGCACTCGCACAGTTTGGTGGATTTACCACTTCTTTTTTTTTTTTTTCCGTTTCTGATTAGGAGCTGGTGATTTGAATCCCAGTAAGAATTCCCACAGTCTGTCTAATTCCTACGCCTGTCTAAAGCTGGGAGGGGGGCCAGTAAGCTGCTAAAGCCCCCTGGTTACACACACATCTACACACCTAAACTGACACACACATATGGACACTCATGTGCTCTCACATATATATATTTATTATTATTATTAGTAGTAGTAGTAGTAGTGCTTTTAGGCAGTTTTGGGTCATTTTTATGCTTCTTTATGTTGTGGCGGCAGTAGAAAGAGAGAAGTGAAATGACATCCAGCAAATGTCCTCCAGCTGGGAACCAAACCAGGGACTCGCTGCACCCATGTGATTTATACCCTAACCACTAGGGTATTGGGTCGCCCCCACTAATGCATTCATTTATATTTTCGTGGATGCTGTGCCATACCAGTATGAATAGACCTACCCTTGCATACGCTTTCATATGCATTTCTCACACACACACACCTAAGAAGCATGTACGTAACTTGGATTCTTATAAGAATTTAGTTAGCGTAAAGGTAAACCCAGGAGACGGAATGCAAAATGAATAATGAGAAAATCCTATTTTCTTCCTTATCAAAGGTTTGCTTTTAAAAGCAGGGCATTGATTGAAGGGGAATGAAGTTGCCAAGAGAAGTGAAAAGTGCAGCAATAGATAGCAGTGAAGGAATTTGGAGACAAGAGTGAAGTAAGGGCAGGTGGAATAAGATGGATCCACTTTACCAATGTCCACACAGAGCAAGCTAGCTGTTTTTGTAAAGAATTTCTATCAAGTACAGTCCAACACTGATGCATGAGAAACATCAAGAGATGTTTTCTGATATCCATCTGATATTCTGGTGATAACCTTGTAAAACCTTTTAGCATTGCTCTTCAAAGAATCATTGCAAAGTCAACCACCCCTGCATTACTTGCAAGAATGTCAAATCTTTCAATTCCAACTAAAAAAAAAAAAAAAAGGATTAAAAAGATTTGAATTCCTAAATTCTATGAAAAACTCAACTATAGGTTATGTGGATTCAGTTCTAAATGAGTTTCTAGTAATGTTTTTGTGCTTTAAAAATGAGTTTTTAAGCCCACAATTAGACTCTGACTCTAGACATTGTATAAGGGAAAAAAATCCCTCTAAATACTCAAAATGCATATTAACCAGAACCAATACTGGTGCATATTTATGGTGCAATAGGTTTTATAATTGATCTGGAGCTGTCTTTGCCGTGTCCCATTTAAATATGTCTGTTGCAACACATGGGATAGAGTCATATCCGCCATGCTTGATGGACTTGATCCTGTAACAACATGTTGGCGTATCAATTAGTCATAGCAACTACCAACGAGAGGCCTGAGGGTGGGAGGGCGTATGTGTTTGTTTGTGCGTTTCTGCTTGTGTGTAAGCATATTTAATTTTGGCCCATATTGTGTGTCTTTCATGTATATGCGTACATACAGTATACAACCACTGGAGACCTCCCAGAATACGTTGCATAGATATCGTGCCTATTAGACTGCATTTGCTGATGAGGAAAGAAATTGCATTATTGGCCGAGTTGTCTCTGTTGACGTTCTTTTCAAGAGTAAAGATGTTCTGGGCACAACTTGGTTAATAAATCATTTTAATGCTCTCCAAAAAGATGCTGAATCCTATAGTGGTTTAGCCGTGTGTGTGTGCGCGCGTGTGTGTGTGTGTGACAGCGTAGGTCAGATTAACATAAACTATATAATCTCTTTAACGCATAATTTGAATTTATGAAGTATAGTTTATTATATACAGTAAATCCTTTAGCCTAATTACCCACCCCCCACTGTTATCCACTCTCATTCACTAACGTAGACCCTACTGTGTTTATAGGAGGTGTATATACGTTATTCCTGCACACACACACTCATGCACACCTGCACCTATGTGCCGTGTCATGCAGTGGTGTGTGACAGTGCACATGTAGTAAAGAATTCACGCACGCTAAGCCTTTAATCTGTCTAAGCCATTTGCCTAATCAGCTCTCTCAGAACAATGCCATTCATAGATCCATAGAAACCACACAAACACACACACACACACACACACGGAGCAAACTGTCCAAACAGTGGGCTTTGCTGGACTAGTAACAGCTTTACCAAGCCCCCCGTGTTACAACCTGTTGTCGCCACGTTGCATCACTTCACACATCTTAGGAAAAGGAGGAAAAGAAGGAGGAGGAGTGGAAATGAGCGTGATAGGGAGGTGTGCAGTCTCCAGAGTGATCACGTGACTTCAGTGTTCGTTTGCTCCATTTTTATCCATCTTGTACTCATCCACTAACTCTTTCCATCATTGTGGTTTAGATCTGCTTTCAAAGCTCCATCACAAGGGGTAAAGCTCGCTCACTCTCAGCAGGTCTTTTTTCTATCCGTCTGTCTGTCAAACCTTCCTTCTTACATTTTCCTACTCTGTCTTTCCCCATTTTTTTGTTTTTCTGTATTATTTAGTAACCTCTTTCTTGTTGTCTCAATTTTTTTTTTTTTGTTATGAAAGCAGCACAGTCATACTATGTATATGTGAGTGCGCGCTTGTGCTGTGGGTGTGTTTTTGATGGGATGAGAGAGTTGAAATGGAGGTTGTGTCAGGTTTTATTTCAGTAGAGCTCAAGCGTGAGAGATGAGAGAAAGACGGGGCTGATGCAACCAAGAGACACAAATACACAGTCGCTGACACACATGGACACGCACTGGTTCGTATTGTAGGTCAGTAGTTAGACAACAGATGTGCACGCGGAGAAAAAAACAAATGGAATACAGGTGAGGACCCACACAGGCGTACACACAGATGTAAACACAAATGTTAGACGCACATACAAATAAGACAATGTGTGCTTTTGTTTTCCTGGCTGATGTTGAGATTATCTTATTGATGTTGTCAAGGTTACTATTTCTATCTTAAATAGCGCTTTTATATTGGAATTTGGTTAACATGCTCGTTAATGAACCAGCAGATTGCGTATTATTAAGAGCCAAAGCCGTGTTTTACATACAGTGCAGTTACATCACTATGCTGTACACAGTTCATTCATCATTCGTCACACCTTCATTGTAGTCATGGGGAAGTCAGCTTAGGGTCTCATGCTTCTCAGAAAAGCCACTGCGACCAACAGATGCCTTTAAGGTAATGAGCTTGGAAGCCTGCGTATGTGATCTTTCCCATTATGTAAGCAGGTAAACTGCCTGTTGTTTATTGTGAAAACCCCGTGGTTGTTTCCAAGCATGTTCTGGAGCATTCTTAGAGAGAAATCGAAGCTAAATGCCATGAAACTGATTTCAGTCGGGCAACAGCACAACTGGCTTTCCCGACGCTGACATGTTGGAGGAGCTTTGTGAATAGCAGCGTGCTGTCACGGTGCTTCTGGAGACCTTTCTGTATACAGAAGGTTACAAGAAGCAGTATGTGCCTCATTGCTGCGGTTTTCTTGGCTTACACTCGATTCTCACTTCCTACTGGGATAGTCATATGAAAAGAAAAAAATCCCTGAATATACAGCGTCAACATGAATGTTCAACAATGTGAGGCGGGTTTATTTATGCAGCAGAGTTTAGACTAGAGATGAAACCAAAAATTTTACAGCTGGCAGTATTATTTAACTTAGTTTTATATGGAAAACATAAATGAAAATTATGATATTAACACTATGAACCCCAAAACCTGCTGGGAGGCATGTTACCATTTTAGAAAAAAACTCACCAAAATAACATCAATATTTGTTTGAGCCGGAAACTGTAAAAAATGAAATAATCTTTGGATTTTCAGCTCTCAACTGTCTATGACTACTCATCTGTGATGTGCCAATCCGTTGGGAAAATTAACCAAATCTGAGCCTAGAACTGGGATGTTTAATCAAAATAACTTTATTCTACATGACTCATTCCAAAAAAAATCTCCCAACATAAGTTGTTTGCATCAACCAGATTCTGCATGGAACAACAGATCCTGTGCGCCTTGGCAAAACTAAGAGGGCTGACTTTTCATAGTGCAATAATCACATTGATTTGAATGATAATTAAAAATTCAAATATTAACTATTTGGAATGTTTCAACTTTTCAAAGTCATAGATACATACATATTTAATTTATTGGGAAGCTACAGCAATATTTAAAAATAGTTTTAAATCAGCTGAGTTTTATGGACCTCAGGTATTCAGGAGGCTTGTTTCACAGACACGAAGCACAGAACCTAAAAGCTGCTTCACCCTGCTTGGTTTTAATACCGAGAACACTCCGTAAGCCTGTCCCAGATGAGCCGAGGGGTCGGGATACTTGATAATGTACAAGTCCTGCAGAAGATCATTTAGTGCTTTATAGACAAGCTGTAGGATTTTATAATCTATCCACTGGCACACAGGGAGACAGTGTGGTGATTTAAGGACTGGTGTAATGCACTCCGCTTTCTTGGTGTTATTGAGGATTCTGGCAGCAGCATTTTGATTAAGCTGCAACTGTCTGGTTGTTGTTTTTACTAAGACTTGTGCAGACACCATTACAATAGCCTCGTCAGCTGAAAATGACTGAATGTCAAAGTTTTTTTGTGGCTTGTTGAGACAGAAATGCTTCAAGTTTTGCTATGTTTGTAAGGTTAATGGGCTATTTTTGTCATTGTTTCTATATGGCTGTTAAAAGTTAAGTTTGACTCCATAACTACAGAAAACACCCCACTAAATGCTGTTAACTAACTGCCTTGGGAATCTGGGTTTTCGCCAAATTTGAAGATAAATGACCACCTTCTTCTTCCACGAGCACTGCAAAAGCGCTTTCAGGTGCCTTGAACCTTGTGTTTTGTGGCCATACTTCAGACCTTGGACATTGTGTGATTTTCACAGTCGACAAAAATGTCTAATGTAAGGTTTTCAGTGAATCATTACAACCCCAGATTCCCGCACTGTACCTAAAGTAATGTAACCCAAATCCTCAAGGCTGCCATCTTCATGCATCTGGTGCTATGGAACAGAGGGCACAAGACTTTGCCTTTAAGACCGATATTTTTGGAGTGGGTGTGATGGCTTAGATCCCTTTAAGAGCAGGGGGATTAGGATGATGCTGATGCTTAGTGTCTTGGCCTGGGTGCCTGTGTGTCTTGCTGCCTCTGCCTGTATGTCAGCTTCCTCTGTGTGGGGCTGGCCGTTTGGAGCCAGATTTGCTTGCTGCATCTGGCTGATGTGCACAGAGATTTCATGGTACACAGAAAAAAAAAAAGAGAGAGAGACAGCAAGAGAGACGTTGGAATCGGGAGAGATGGTGTTGTGTCTGTGCACATGTGTGTGAATGTGTGTTGCATGTGCAGCGAAGCTAACTGGAGCAGGGTGTCCAGGATGCGTACACGCTTGACAGCCCGGCTGCAGCCTTGTGGTACAAAACATTCGGCATTGCTGTGTGTGTGTCTGCACGCACATAGGCAACTGTTACACTTGTGTGCATGTGTGGAAATGATGCATCGGTGACTCAACTTCAGCTGTCAAGTGTGTGTGTGTGTGCGTGTGCATAAGTGTGACTGTGACTTGGATGAGCAGCGGGACTAGACAGCTAGTCGTCATCATATGGGTGTCTTTTCCTGCCGCGTCACCTATCAACTGTCAATGAGACGTAAAATGTGAACGCTCAAAGAAGGGCTTACACACACTACACAAACACATATGTGATGTGTGGAGGCTCTGCAGTGGGATTGTGTGGTAAAATTAGATCAAACAATGTCTGGATGTTCCCAGGTAGCACTAACTAACCTAAATTGTGTGTGTACGTCCCAGTGTGTTTGAATGCTTTAGCGTGACGGCATTAACAAACGTCCCAGTCTTGTCCCGTGCTCATCGTCTGCCTTCTTTCTCCCAGGTTCTAGCTGGCCAATGCCGGGCCCGTCGTGGACATCTGGTGGCGGTAGTAGCAGTAGTGTGTATGTGAGTGTGGTCCCCGGCGCCTAGCCCATGTCCAGCCCATAATGCCGTCGTCCACACGGAAAGGAGTGCCGAAGGACCCCGAGCTGGCCGACCTCTTCTTCAAAGATGACCCCGAGGACGTCTTCTGTGACCTGCACGAGATCGGACATGGCAGCTTTGGGGCCGTCTACTTTGTAAGTGCCAACTTCTGACTTTCCGTTGTGTTTGCTTTGACTTTTACATTCCACAGAGACTTGAGTGAGTTTTGAGTGTTGCCCTCTGAAATCCAAACCCAGCTGATTTGAAAGGCACATGTATCATGACATCATTTATCAGAGCGAGAAACTGTCAAAATTTTCCTGCTTTCAACTTTCTAGTTTTCCTTCAACGAATCAAATGTGATGTGCCATTTTTTATTTTATTTTTTTTGAGACAACCAAACCAAATCTAATCTTAAAAATTATAATATTTCTTTAAAATCCCCTTAATATGTGTCATTTTAACAATTGACAAAAATAAGCTGTTTGCTGTAACCAGACTTTTTGCTCAAGATTCTGTAAAAAGAAAAGAAAAAAAATCTGCTTTCTTCTGTGCAGTCTGTAAGTAAAATATTAAAAACCCATTCTGCTGAACTGGGCTGAATTGCAGGCTGTGTAGAGACAGAGCAGGTAGGAAGCAAGTATGGAAACACTTTTTTTTTTTTTAAAAAGTAGTAGAATATGTATAATATGTAAAGTCACTTATTTTCCAGTGCTGGTGACACAAATGTTGTGCAAGTTGATTCCATTTAGTTAAAATCTTTGGAATACAATGAATGAAAGAAATTCAACTTTATTTTTTGCTTTTTTTCTTGTGATTCATGGCATTATAACTTTGTACAAAAGACGTCTTTGAGTCCTTAGTTTTGCTGTTTCTATAGTGCAGGACTTTAATGTTGTTGTGAAGTATGAGCCCACAATAACTAGAAACGTGACAGGAGCAAAGAAACACCCAGAAACCTCTTGAGGTTCAAAGGGTTCATGTTTTTTATTTTAATTTTGGAATTTCTCCACTCCATAAATGTCCTCTGTTTCACTCATTTCTGTTCAGACCGACTTTGCATATTCTATATTTTAGAACAGCCTTCGCCCTGAGTCGGCTGGGATAGACTCCAGCCCCCCCGCAACCCTAGTGAGGATTAAGCGGTGTATAGATGATGGATGGTTGGATGGATGGACGTATTTTAGAACATGACTGGACCTTAAAGGTGGTAGCAGGATATGGCAGTGACGCAGCTGGTGTTGGAATTTATTGGCTGATCATTTTACTTGAGTTTCATTAAGTCCAGAAAGGAAGACAACCAGAGTTTGCTCGTTTAAGAAGATATATCACCACCTTTGGCCCGATACTACAGGGCCATTTTTAATGCACATAGCTTTCATTTATTAATTATTTATCCTACACATTCCTTTTATTAATTCAGTGGTTTGTACACGCTGTAAATGCAGTTCGCTACATGATGGCTCTTTGAATGCAATTAAGTGGAGACGGATCCCCTCTCAGCACATTCTCTGTAGCCTTTCTTATTAATCTCATCATCGCTAATTACTCATCAAGCCTTTGATTCCAAAGCTGCGTGGAGGAGGAGGAGGAGGAGGGGGGGTGAAAGCATGCTGCATCTATCTGCTCCTTCTTCAGTTTTTTTCTCCTCTTTCCTCCTCTTCTCTCCTCTTTCTTCGTCTCCTCTCCTCCTTCTCCTCCAGATGCAGGGCTGGAGGCGATAAGCCTCCTCCCTGCCTCGTAAGACAGCTGTTCTCTTGGTACAGGAAAAACTGAGAAGCTGTCGATAGAGGGGCAGGATTTTCTTGGCTGCCAGGGCTTTACTATCCCCTTCTATCCCATGTCATTTACACACACACACACACAGACACACAAACACACACACAGCCCCAATACAACATCACTAGTAGCCTTGGTGCCATGTCCGTCTGGCTAACAGGCTCCAGTGTGTGTCTAAATCCTGCCCTGATGCCAGTGCTGTGCTCACTGACACACTTATGCTGTCTGCATTACAACTGGTACGCTGCTAGCTGTTAGCTAGAGCAGAATTTGTACACGTAGTCCGTAGCTTCCAGATGAAGATACACATTTTCTTTAAAGTTTATCTGCGACCAAACAGAGGACACGTGTGTCTACAACAAACAAAACATTATGGTAACACCAGTTGTCATGCCAGTGTAACACAAACAATATACAGTAACGCAAAAGTGACTCAAAATTGTCCTCAAACGTTCAGAGCAGCTGAAGTGCTTTCTTCACCCCTGGATAGTTTCATCTAACACGTCTCTCTTCTCTCAAAGTGTCCTGCATTTGGCTTGAGAGATAAAAATAAAGAGCTGCACATCAATCGCTGCCACTCATTCGGCTTATTGCTAATAATTGATGGCAATTCACATGAGCATATTAATATTTATATAAATCAGAGCTTCTCTCATCTGGGTTTTAGCAGCTGGCCAGTCAGAGGACAGAAATTTTAGAAAGCAAATCAAAGTGAATCTGTAAAAGTTTCCTCTCATCCCCAGTAGAAATAGTGCCCTCACATACAACCCACTGTAGGACGAAAGACACGGAGGAGCATGCAAACCCATACTTTGATTTAGCTGTGTTGTCTAACATTTAAGAAGTAAATGCCTGCAGCTATAAGTTAGATGCATGATAGAAGGGAACAGTGCAGCAGCTACCACTTTAAATGCATGCATATTCTGTAGCTTATTACTATATATGCGTGCATAGTCAAGTAAATTTATGCAACTGTATGTGCATTTGCAGTTCATGCATGTAAAGACTAAGAAGAACCTCAATTACAGAAGAGAATAAGGGGAAACCCCTGCTGAGTGTGCAGGCACATCACCAAGGGCTTTAAACGCATACCAGTATAATGTATGCTGAATGAATTAGACAATTGTAATTACTGACACATCCCCATTCTTCTACAATGACAATTAGCCTGAATGTATTTCAATATTTTAATGTTACATGATTTTTATTTCCTCCCGTCTAGCTGTACCCTGGTACGGAGGGAGCGGCTATTATACGTGAACTGACAGGAAATCATAGGGATCAAATTAATCTGAAAAAACTCAAATGGGAATACTCTGTAGCCTGCTGTTACTGTAATTCCATTTGGACCCTAACATGAAATTCCCATTCATTTGTAAGTGGGATGAAGCCGAGATAAGGGCTTAGGCTGAGCCGCAGTGTAGCTGTCCCCGAGGCCAAATGCCTCCAAGGTTAACACCGCGGGTTTAGCATGGGCATGTGGATGTGGACAGACAACTCAAACTCCTGCAGTAGCTGCACAAAAACCACACAGCACTTACCTGCACACTTCCTCAACTTATGATGCTGAGTGCTGTGATCAGGTTGACATTTGCTTAAATTCAAATGACACACGCTGTTACTGCTGAATCAGTTTGTGGTAGACGTTTTGCTTTGTGCACGCATTATGGTGCTTTGCATGCGTCAGATTTATCTGTTTCACCTCTGGATTTCCCCTGAGGCAATACACGAGTTACTGTCCAGTAAAAACACACCTTTTTTTAAAACTTTTATTTTGCAAAATCTGTTTGTATTATATGTTGCTGTATAGTACCATACTGCATGTAAGGTTTTTATTACTTCTATGATGTTCATGATGACCTTAATGTGAATGTTAAGCAGAAAACCAGAGGGAACAAGTTTCATTCATTCATTTATTCAACCTTTACTTAAACAAGGAGTAGATTGAGGTACGAAGACCTCATTTACAATGTAGCTGAGCAGGAAAATAAAAGATGTGGTCACATAAATAAGAAACTTGGATGCGATAAAATATGAACAGGCTTTCTTTGTGTAACCTGGCTCGACAAAACCCAATCACAGATAATGGGGGTCACATCCGTGGTTTCCAGGCGTCACTTGACTCTTTTTTCACCCAAAATGGGCCGATCATGTGCTGTCTACTTCATGTCAAAAGGAACAGGTTGTTAGAATGGAGAGTTAGTAAAAATATATTACGGTAAAACATGCTGTTATTGCAAATGATGCAAGAGACGAATGATGGACGAAAATTGTTAGCTAAGTAAATCAGTACATGTGTGCACTACAGCTTAGCATGGCAACTTGACACATACAATTTGCACTAATGCACGACTTTATTCAGCGGGATTTCTAACGTACAGCTCAACAGGTTTTGCAGCTATATCGTATTTCCCCAGCCGAGAATCTGTATCGCTCATAGAGAATATCATCAGGAAAGAATTGATGCAACAGTGGCACTTCCTAATGCTGATTTAAATCCCAAACTTTGAACTGAATCTCCGCTGAAGCAAGTTAGCTGTGCAGCTTTAGTTACCATGGTGATTTAGCCGGTCATTATCTTTGTGACACTGAAAATTCTGACTTTAGGTTCAACATACTTGGCTGTCCCTTTCATCCCGCTCTGTAGTGCACCCCTCAGTAGCTACGCTGCTTCATCAGACATCAGGATGTTATTGTAAAAGCAATTAAATTACTTCTTAAGCAGTGTTTCACCTCTTTATAGTGTTTTCTATCAATGTGTCCTTATGATTGATGCCAAGTTCTTTTTTTAGCGCTTTATGATCATGGGACAAAAACAACATTAAACAATCCTGTGATATCTTGTGGTAGGATTGTTATTCATGGGAGCTGTCTTTGCTTAGATTTTTTACACTTCAAGTTTCAAGACTTTAATAGATCATTGTCTCTTTTCCCTTTCAGGCACGTAACTCCTACTCCAACGAGGTGGTGGCCATCAAAAAGATGTCCTATAATGGCAAGCAGACTACCGAAGTAAGAATCACACACACACACAGGAGCGCACAGACATGACACAAGTCATGCATCACCACAGTTTCTCTAAATCACATCATAAAAATAAACCTCAAGGTCAGGTGGGCATTCGGTTTGGTCGGATCACGTTTATTTCTCTGCTGTGGGAGTAAGAGCCGTTGCTCGAGATGAAATTAGCATTACGTCATCCTCGCTGCTGTTTCACACAAAGCTTGATGCTTGTGAACTTGTGAGATGTCTCATGTGGTGGTTAGTTGCTCAGAGAGAACAAAATAATGTGAAAATAATTAAAGCATGTGTCTACCTCAAGCGAACTGTTGTAAATGTTTAGGCACGAGCTCTTCAGAAGGCTTCCATTGTGATCACAGCTTACTCTTCCGTTGAACCACATCGCTGTGGTTTAGTAAACTTTCTTCTGTCTTTTTATAAACCAGTGAGGGATCGTTCTGTATGAGGGCTCGGGGACAACGTTGTCGGTCTGTCCCTAACTGGCTGAGCGCTCGCTTTCAGTTTATTATTTATGTTGGTTTCTGTGCTGCAAGAACTTTCCTGTCTGTCAATATACAAAATTAAGAAATGTATAAAAGCAATAACAGCTGCATTAGAGTGTACTTCAGTGAGCACAGCTGTACCATTGCAATCAAAGCCACAGCAATGCCCACACGAGTGATACTGTGATCGCACCTGCAGTGTCTAACCGTCGATGTGGCTGAATTTGTTTTGGCAGAAGTGGCAGGACATCATTAAGGAAGTCAAGTTTTTGGGACAGCTGCGGCACCCAAACACGATTGAGTACAAAGGCTGCTACTTGAAAGACAACACTGCCTGGGTAAGTGGCTTCTGCACATCATCTTTAGCTCCAGTTCCCCTCTTTTTCAGTCTCACCACATTGTTAGTTTGTCTTTTTCTCCCCTCGTCTTTCTCTGATTGTTTTCCTCTTCATCTTTATGTATTTTCCCGTCCTACTGGCTGTGTTTGTGTGGTTTCTATGTTGTAATTAGGACCACCTCCATGGCAGTCGTCAGGCTGTGATCAGTTTCACACACTTCACCTGAAGCTTTGTATTTAGGATGTTTTCTGATGGTTTGCATGCACCATGTGAGTGATACGTGTTTTCTGTTTCAGCTGGTGATGGAGTACTGCCTGGGCTCCGCGTCAGATTTACTAGAGGGTAAGTACATTTATTCATGTTTAATGTGCGCACACATTCATAATTCTAATACAGTTTTTTATTGTCAGTATCAGGGTCTTAATCTTTACATTTTTCCTTGAGGTCAGTGAGCAGAAATATTCCAGTACCTCTAAAAATAAATTACACAAAACCAAAACATGTCATTATTGCACATGGATTATCGTACATATTAAACAAAAGCGATATGTGTTAATTAGCGGGATTCACAGGTGCTGGTTGGCGGATTTTGTTACCTTTGGGAAGAAACAGCAGTCAAGGTGTTAGCTGCTGTTTGCAGTCTTTATCTTAACCCTGAAAACCCCAAACAGTTTCTGACGTTTTTTTGTTCCTGTCACATTTCTAATCATTGTGCGCCCATTTTTTTTACAGCAACATAAAGTCCTGCACCTCTATGGTAACAGCACAACCATGGCTAGAAGATGAAAAACAAGTGACTTTTGTGTCGTACAACAAAGTTATAATGCTTTGTTATGATAAAACACAACCTGCAATTCAGCAGAAGAGTCTCTGATTTTTTTTATCACTTGACTGTTGGTTGCAACTAAGGAGTGCAGATGCTTCTTTGTTTTTTACAAAATCTGAATAGAGTCGAGGGTTTTATGTTTTGGAGTTTATAAATAAGACATGCAAATTCAAGGGATTTTGATTAAACACAATTCTAAGCTTGAATTTGGTGACATTTTCTGATGGAAAGACACGTCAGATTAGTAGTTTAAAGACTGTCGGAAAGTTAAAAGTTGGACAATTCTGTCTGATTTTACAGTTTTTGTCTCGCATAAGTTTTGTAATTTTGGCCTTTTTTTCCTCTTTTTTTCTCTTTCTTCTTCTTTTTTTGTTTTTAAATGATCACACCTTTCAGATCCACTTGTGGGTTTTGGGGTTTAGAGGGTTATGATAAGCTATCAGATGTAAAAGTTGAAACCCTCTGCATTAAATCGTAATCAGTTAAATGTCTGATTTTTCTTTAAAGATGTAAATATGTGAGTGTGTAGCCACTCAAAACAGGCTAGTTTGAGGTAGCGAGAAGCCAAGTGATGAGGAAGGTCTTTCTTTCACCAGGCGGTCTTCATGTGCACACCTGCACTTTGTAATGTCTGCTAGGTTTCTAGAACTCTTTACTCACACATCTCTAAAGCCCTCGTGTGTTACTGCTTATAAAACAAATCTCATGAAAAGTCGTTTTTCTCTTTTTGCTTAGTAGTCTTCAGTAAAATATGGACTGTAGCACAGATGACTGTTTGACCTTCTTGAGGATTTGCTAAAATACAAGACATGAGGAACTGCCTACAATCGTCCTTTAAGACCCATAAAACCTCATGTTGTCTTGTTATTTTTTCTGCTTTCATTTTGTGAACCTCACTAAAAGCTTACGTTCTCTACAGTTGTGTTCATAAGTACTGGAGCAAGATAAGCACACTGTAAACGTTGAATCTACTTACTCGTAGCTGTGTTTGTGTGTTCTGAATATCAACGTTTTATGTAGAAAGCAGATCAGCTGCATCCACCTGTAAAGACCAAAGAATGTTTTCCAGTTTTCAAAGCGTGGACCTCCTGAACTGTTCAGCCTCCAACCATTCTTGACCTGAAACTAATGTGTTATTTTAAGCACCTATGTGTGTACTCACGGCTGACGTAGAGTGCACCGTCGTGACAGTTGGCCCTGGCCTGTTTTTGGGACTTTAGCCTTTATGAAATTTCTCAGTCATAGTTCTGCCGTGACCTTTTTGCCTTGACACACATTCTCGCTGTTGTTGCATCAGTCCACAGAGAGCCGGCTTAGGAACCTAGAAGTGTTTATATGTTGTCTATTTGTACAGTTGCTTCAGAGCATCAGCAGATTGGAACGTTTTTTTTTTAATTTCTGTATATATGATGTTGTAGTTCCCAGAACCTTGGTCAGCTGTGAAGCCTGCATGTTCTTTTCCATCGTGTAGACCTTTTTATAGAACTGTTCCTGCTCATTATTTTATCATTTAAGTCCTCAGAGGGCTCCTACTCATTTCAACTGTGTTATTTCTCCGCTAGTTCACAAGAAACCACTCCAAGAGGTGGAAATTGCTGCCATTACCCACGGTGCCTTGCTAGGACTGGCTTACCTACATTCCCATAATATGATTCACAGGTGAGCAGTTTGTTTCCGTGTTTGCAACATTTTCCAACAGGAACACCCAGTCAAGTAGCACAAACACAAGAATATAGTGGAAACACTCATTCTTTATTGCCGTGCTTCATAATGAAGCTGTAAAACCTGACGTGTGTCTTTCCTTTGTAATCCTTCTTCAACATTGCTGTTCGGAGATAACAACTCTCTTCCGTCACCGGCGTCCGCAATATATCTTTTACGGCGAAGAGATATGATTGGAATCCAGGTTACGTTGCAGAGACTTTAAAGTGGCATTTAAATGATCATGACGTCTATAAACACACGCCACCAGTGTCCAGTTTGTCAAAATTTGCTTTACATCACATATAGTTGACCAGTGGATATGCATAATTCAAAACTGAATCCAGGAGCTGATGTTTTCTCTCCTGGCTGCTCTACGTTCAGCTTCTGTTCATGTGCTCACTGCCCTCGTGTCCTCCTCTCTATCCAGAGATGTGAAAGCTGGTAACATCCTGCTGACTGAGCTGGGTCAAGTCAAACTGGCCGACTTTGGCTCCGCCTCCATTGCCTCACCTGCCAACTCCTTTGTGGGAACACCTTACTGGTCAGTATACACAGGACAAGATGTGACTTAGAACACATGACTTTTATTGGCATTGTCCTTTAGTGTCTGCTCTCTTTTGCATAGAAATTAAGAGGGTTTTTTTTGTTGTTTTTTGCATGAATTAGCTGCTTTTTGGCATTTCTCCTTTATTAGATAGATATATTGGAGAGAGACAGGGAATGACATGCAATAAAAGTCTGAACCGGGTGAAAACAGAACTCACTACTTGAAGGCATTAGTTTGCCCCCGAGATAGTTTCTTTAAAGTTGTTTTTTCTTTTCTTTTTCACACTGAGTAAGATCTGAATGTTTTTGTCTTTTTGTCAACGAATTTTTAATTTAGACTCCTGAAGCCAGTCTATCAAATTATGCTTTTTTTTTTAAGTCCCTTTCAGATTTGCACCTAGCTACATAAACGTGGTGTCAATTTGAACATGTGTGTCTAAATAAGTAAATGACTCCCTTCGATATCAGTTCAACCCTAAAATTTCTCATGATGAGATTAGTGCGCCACATGATCATCATCGATGCAGCCTGTTGGAGAACTGACAGCAGTTTTCAACCCACTGCTGTTCTCCGGCAGTGTCAACACTCCCTCTTGTGCACCTCTTGAGCCCTCTGTCTGAAGGACAAAAACACAGCACTTTAACAGCTTAATGAGGTAACAATGTTACGTATTCAGTGTCTGTAAAAGATTCTGATTTCTGTGTCAGGGCAGCCATTCAATTATATGTTGTTATGGACGGAAGCTATTGAGTTTTCAGTAGAAACAGCAATAAGTTAATAATATTTATTTGCATTGCACTTATCAAAGCCAGCGTTACAAACAAAAAAAGCACACAATAAAATACACTGTCATATAAAAGAGAAATAAAATTTAAAAACAATGGAGGATTAAAAAAAACAGAAACAGAAAACAAAACACAAAAAACAGCTCTTCAGGACAGAAAATAGAACACAAAGGATAACTATAGAAACGATGGGTTTATTTCATCTTATTTAAAGTATGCAATGTCAAGACTAAGAATAAATGTACAAGTAAAACCCTCTACACTCTAGGAGTTTGTTGAGGTTTGTTGCTCCGGTCATATTTTTATTCACTGTGGGCTCGTTTTTTAAACTATATAAAGTCATGCGTCTCTATGAAAACGGCACAACCGTGGCTCGAAGTGGAGTCTAGAGGGTTAAAAGTAGTAAGTAAGGTTTAGTTTCAATTTTTAAACAAATGTGCACTCATTTAAAATTTATGTCATCTTCTCATTTCACTTTCAGTCTCGCTGCTGCATTTTGTACAATTTGGAGTCGACGTCATGAGCTGCACCTTACACACCAAAATATGAACCCACACACTCTCGCCATCTTTGGTGGTGAATATAAAGAATCACACACACAGTTGGACGAGCACTGTGGCCACACACATGAAAGTTGTCACACAGCACATTTACAGAAACACATAGATTCCAAAAACTGAGCTGCTATCACAGCATACCAGAGTCTTTAAAAGCTCTGAGAAGCTTAGCAGATTATAACATTTTCATGGATTTTTTTTTTTTTTTTTTTTTGCCTATACTTAATAGTCTGTGAGTGTGTGCCTCTCTGTTTGTCCTCAGGATGGCCCCAGAAGTGATCCTAGCCATGGACGAGGGTCAGTACGAGGGAAAAGTGGACATCTGGTCCCTGGGGATCACCTGTATTGAACTGGGTGAGCACACACTGACCAGTGAACGTATTTATCGGCCCATACAGTCAGAAATTCAGCAGATTCAAGCGGAATGAAAATGATTCAGAAAGCAAAAAAAACACATCTAAGATTTCACCATCTTTCAAGGAACTGATTGTGACAACTGTGACATTGAAACACCACTCATCATCTATTTCTGACTCTGCCCATCTTCTCTGATTTCAGCGGAGCGTAAACCACCCTTGTTCAACATGAACGCCATGAGTGCCTTATATCACATCGCCCAGAACGACTCTCCCACGCTGCAGTCAAATGAGTGGTGAGTCCTAAGTTTTATTCCTGACATTAGCATTCACTTTATAGGAAGTCTTTCAGTTTATTTTTTTTAATCATTTTCATTAAAAATTCTATCCAATTTTGGCCAGCATGTTTTGTGGTATTGCAATGCTATCTCCCACTCTTGATTCAATACCTCCACTCAACTGTGAATATAAAATCCAATCCGGTCTGGGCTCAGCCAGGGTAAGACATCCCGGTGTTAATCTGCCTGACCTGTGATCCCTGTGACCGGCCTTGTGCAAGGTCAGACTCTTAAGTCTATTATGTAATTACCTGGGAAACCTTGACTAAAGAAACACTACCCACACCGTTTCTGCTGGGCTGTAGGCAACATTTAAATGTGTCAAAACAAAGCAGCGTGATTATTCTAATATTATTCCAGTAGATAAAACTCACTTTTTAGGTTTTGCCGTACCAACACATTCCTCCGTATACAGATGAGGTGTTCTGGGTGTAATGTGGGAAAACAGCCTGCCTTATGCATTATTTTATGCAGCTTTCAGCCTCGCAACTCACGACTGTGGATGCTAATAGATTCTCTTGGGACTGTCCTTCCAGACATCAAAAAAAAAAAAAAAAAAGTTAAGCAATTTAATTTAGGCCAGCAGGTTCTTGGAGCTCTTTTTTTGCAACACCATCACATCCAGTATTGTTAGAAAAAGAACCTTTCAGTCAAGGCCGTCAGTGCAAACAGATAAAGTTCATAAATTAAGAAATTGTGTGTGAAGTTAGGTTTTTTTTCCCCAGCTTTTTTAACACAAAGGAATAATGCTGATTTGATTATTTTGTGAACATTTTATGTTTTAAGATAGTAGATAATTATTCCACAAACTAGTTACCTGGTGATTATTTCCCATGTGTCTGGTACTAGCTGACACAAAATTGAAGGTCAAAGTGGAGAGGGATTTAGTATGAATTTAGATAAACGTGGTAGCCGTAGAGAAGAAGATACATATTCAGCAGTGTGTATGCACGAAGAAGCGGGTGATCTAAATTGGTGAAAAGATGTAAGAAGGTTGACATGCTCCCCTGCATCGCTGTTCCCACTATGTGTGAGGTGCGACTGTCGTTGGTGAAACAGAACTCATCAAATATTAACCCTGTGTTTGATGTTCTCCCTGTAACTTATCGTTTCCGTCATGCTATCACTACCACGGTATGAAAGTGTTGCATGTGAGGTCCTGGGCATGCAGAGTCGTGCAGATGTTAGTTCCTTGAAATATGTTGCACAAATATTTCTCTGCTGCTCAGCTCTTCAGGAGTATTTTTTTTTTTTTAAATGCATCGGAAGCAGGTCATAAGAAAAATAACACAAGAAGAGTCCTTTAAGTTCAAACTCGCTGCCCGTGACCGTGCACAGAGAACGCCTGTTGTAAAATTAGCATGGTTTTCTAGCATCGAGCTGAGGCGGGCGATTGTGTGGGACAGCGCAGGGTTGTGGTATTTTTGGAGAAGCTCCAGCGGCCCGAGGCGTCAGCAACATCCCGCCAGATGAGACTAGTAGAGACATCGGCTCCATAGTGTTTGGTACACAAACACAAGACTGCACACACTGGCATGAAGCGCATTCGTAGACCTGAGCTAACCACGAAGGGACGAGAAGTGGAGGTTCAGGTAGAGATGGGTGCTCGATAGGTGCCAGGCTACTGCGCTGACCCCACAGTGACCCCAAATGCACAAAGTGATTTAATTAAAGGCATAAGTAGCCACATGGTGTTACATACACTGCACTGTGTTATCATGAGCCTATTTTTAGATCAGAGTTCCACAGCTCCAGTGGCCTATATTTTTATTGCTCCACATATTTACATAATCCATATACGGTTCATATTTCAGTTCTATACGAAGTGATTACAAAGGATTGTTCTGGCTTAAGTCACTGATATGAGAAACAGAGCAGCACGAAAGAGATTTGTCTTCCTTACATGTTCAACTTTCATTGACAGTAAGTACAGTGCGAGTGGCTAAAGGCGGCCTATCTTTAGATTCTCTTTTATGTCTGCGCTTCTAATTCAAATATGGTTAAAGAAGGGGGCATCATTGACCTTCATCTCACTTTCTTCTTCACCCAGGTCCGACCCCTTCCGGAGCTTTGTTGACTACTGCCTACTGAAAATTCCTCAGGACAGACCCTCGTCAGGGGAGCTGCTACGAGTGAGTGGGCTTCTTCTGTAATCCCTCCAGCTGTGACCTCACTTCCTGTCTCAGTCAGTCCCTGAGCCTTGATGATGAGTCACTCCCCCCAACCGCTCCCTAATACACAAGCATATACACAGTGTCTTCTTCAAGCACATGAATCAAGCACCCCGCTGAGAGTCGCTTATTTTCTCGTTCTCTCTTTTTCTTTGTCGTGGCTCCATTTCCTGGGCCGCGCCTTGTAGCCACGGTCTTTAAGCGCTCCGTGGAGATTATGTGCGTTTGCTGCTTCCACACTTCTTTGATTTGAGCACAACTGACAATGGTTTATAGATACTGTTCCTCCCCAATTATGTATGCAGTATTATGTTGTTTTGTTTTTTCGCATGCCAGAATTATTGTTTTTTTGAAATTGGAAGCATTTGAAATCGTCTTATTCTTTCTATGTTGGGGGCATTTCCTAACTTTATTGATGGTCGAACAGTAAAGACATGAGAGGAATTGAGAGAGAAAGACCAAAAAAGCCAAAGTCCTGTGCTCGACTGCAGTCATGATAGTTGGTGCCACCTCCTGAGCTGCAAGGGTGGGTTTTTAAAACACTTTTTTTTCAAAGAATTGCAAGATTACACCATTTATCAGAGCCAGAAACTGTAAAGGCAGAATGAATCATTGGAGTTTAAACTTTCCAACGGTCCTTGAACTAATCATCTGTTATGTGTGATACTTGGTTCTACAGGTCTCATTTAAAGATTCACCAAAAATAAACTGTTCTAACCAGATTCTGTAAAAAAAACAACAAAATTCTGCACTCCTTGACACAAGCCGGAAACCATGATTGGCCATCCTCGGCTGAACTGCAGCCTGTGCTTACACGGAGCACAAGCATGTTATTACGTCCTCTATACTTTTAGTCGTGTTCTGTTTCCGTGGAGATCCAGGACTTTTTACTGCTGTGGGGGGAAAAAAAAGCCCACAGTGACTAAAATGCAACTGGAGCAAAAACAAAAACCCAACTAGAAACCACTTGGGGTTCAGAGGATTGAAAACAGAACCTTTAAGCCAAACATGTAGATAATTTTGACACATGTCCGTGTTGTTAACTGAAAGCAAAATTATCCAGAAAACCCCCAAATTTACCAACAAAAGCTGCAAGTATGTCTTTTTGTTTTGTAGCCATCCTGCCTAATGGCACCACATACATGTCGTTTCCAAACACAATGGACACACACGGTTGTAATCCATGTATGTTCATTGAGGAGTTGATCTTTTTGTTTGTGCGACCAACAGGTAATCCTATTGGCCCCACTAAGAGTTTTATGTTCTTGGTGATCACGCTCAGCAGTGCTGGAGGACTTTTCACACCTGCCTCGCTTTAGGGTGAATGACAGGAAGGTGCAAGGTCAGGTGTGGGTTAACTAAGGGGCTCTGGACTGTCAGCTGGGTAGGATTGAGATTTTGACTGGAATTCTCTCTCTTCCCAACACCGCTGACCCAAATCCTGGCTGAAAAAACCATTAAAGAGGGATAAGTACCAAACAGACTTTGGATCAGTGTCGAAGGGCCTGCTTTATAGCGAAGGGCTTGGGGGGTTGGGGTGTTAGTTTATGATTAATACCCCACTTTCTCTTCTCAGACACACACACACACACACACACATACACAAATTCGCTCTTCCTTTGAGTGCACACACACTCACACAGGCACACGCCCCTCCAAGCTCTTTAAAAGGGAAAATCAGGTCACTAATCTGTGGGCCTTGAGCTATCAGTGTTCTGGCTTCAGGTTAAATGTGCTCTCTCCCTGTATACCTCATTCAGGGTAATATTAATTATACAAATGATAAATTAACAACCGCTCATTGACCTCTCTCTATAAGTACCCATCATTTAAGCATAAATACTCTTTGAACAGTTTAAAATAGCTCTGTGTGTTGTGTGGCTTTAGGGGGGGTTTTTTGGATTTTAAAACCCTGTAAATTAAATGGTTAACCACAGATATTTACAGTGAAGCAACAGTTTCCCAGAGCTCAAGAGGATGTGTTCAAATTAAATGTTTTGTCTGAACAACAATTGACTATAGGATCAAACAGAAAATTAGGAAATATTCACTTTTGTGTGTTAGTGTTTGGCCTTTTTCCATCACGACGACGCTGATTGATTCCTCATTCAGTTCTCCATGCATTCATTCATTCACAGCTGAGAGTTAGATCGGAGCATCGATGTTATCTGCAAGGCTAATATGTAGCCATGAGCTAGTTAGTTTAGCATAGGTTTGGCTTTGTCCAAAGGAAAAAAAAATACCAGCAAAATTCCTGTGTAAAACAACAAATGCATTTTAAAGATATTTTTTATTTGTGTATGGATTTAAACAAACAGACAAAAAAAAGGTAGAAGCAACAGGTAACCTCAGGGGCGGAGAGACGAATAGCCCCCATGTTAAAATATCCAACTTTACAGGCAAAATACATTTTTCCAACCTTGTACAAGCAATGATTTCCAGGTCTATAGCTAATCTCCCATTTATTACAACTGTACCGAGAGTGAATTTTTATGTGACTTTCTGTTTAAATTGAAACAAGGCTTAAAATTATGCAACAACAACTGGAGCTATCACACTGTGTTGAGCAGCTTTATGTACTTTATAGTCAATAGCTATAAGGTGTTTGTTAGTGAGCTTCAAAGGGGCTGTGAGGCAGATTTTGGCGTCTTTATTCAGCCAAGCTAGCTGTTTCTGTCTTTATGTTAGGCTAAGCTAATCAGCCGCTGTCTCCAGCAGATGTTATGGTGTTATCAGTAATCTCATCTAATGCTTGTCAAGGACGCTAAAAACATGTTTCCCAAAAAATGTTGAACTATTCCTTTAAGAATCAAGCACGTGTTCTTTGTGACATGCCATGACTATATCTGCAGTAAAGTAAAGAAAGCATACCAAAAACTTTGCATTTAGTGTCACAAATGGATGATGCCTAACAGTAAACATCTTCCGATGGATCACGAGTGACACCACAGTATATATATAAGAGGAAAGGAGTGTAGCTGCTATCACTTCTTCTTCTTCTTCACAGTAACCTTATAATGAGAAGGAATGCAGAAGCTAACGTCTGGCTGGTCGTTGGTACGGGGGTGTCCAACCACCCAGATTCTGGTGTAGGTCCGTCAGAAAACGGGACAAATCACTCTCGTCTCTATTTTCAGAGTGTGATGTCATTCCCCTGTGTCCTGACTAACCCATTACACCAGCATCTGTCACATGGAGAGGAAGGTGTGCAGAGTGAGAGCGAGCGGGGCTATAAATAGACCTAAAAAAAATATAGTTTATCATACAGTGTATACATATTTTAGTCTCGTAGCCATAGGTTGCATGCGTTTCAACCATTTAAGCGCTCAATATTTTATGAATGAGAGTGACTAAGAGGAGGTGTGAATGTATGTGTATGTGTGGTGTAGTGGGTGGAAGCGCTGGGATGAAATGTCTCGTTCTTGATGTCAGTAAAGTAAAAATTAAAAAAAAAATCCACAATATAAAAATAACCCTTTACTCACACTGTAACCCTCGTTCTCACCTCCAACCCTTCAGCCCCACCCACCACCCACTCTGACCTGCTGGTTATGCAATGCAAAATAAATAATTACATAAATGCATAATGCCTCAACCTCCACTAAATTACACCTCCATTAAATTACAGAGGTTCCTCACATTGGAACCAGCTGGGCTTTATCCTGTCAGAATGTGATCTAAACAGCACAAGTGGAAACTGTGCTTGAAATGATTCAATAGTCACGTTTTGATAAAGAAAATATGACAATTTATGAAATGTTAACGCTGTGGGGATTTAACTTTGTTCCTGTAGGAATTTAACTGAGTCCTATTTACTTTGAGTCCCACTGATACTGTTATTATTAAATTATGAATCTCCAGTATTATTTTTTCTTTCTAGACAGGGTTATGATATTATAGGCCTTCTAATACACAGTGATAAATAAATTTAAATAAAAACAAAACACTGAAAGACCTCTCATCAGTAAGCAGCATATTAGTCAGTGGCATTTTTGTTTCTTGATATGGTCTAATTGAAGTCGTCATTAGCTTGGTGCCAAAGCAAATACATTTCATTTCATGTATCGAAATGAAAAGGATTAAGAGTATTTATGAAAATCGATTTTTATGGACAATCTAGTTGAGATCCCATGTAATGAGTGTACCAGAGGATGTAGTGAGCTGGGACTCCCAGGACTGGCTGAGCAACCTACAGGCGCCCTCTAGTGATCGTCTCGGATGTGGTGCTCACTGAAACAAAAATAAAACTGGATAGTTGATGACAGTTCAGTCCTAAAGTCCCAAAGAAGAGTAGCTGAAAGCTTTGTGAACACCTAGTTTGATATCATTTAAAAGTCCTAAATCCTTCTAACACCACCTGTTTTGTTTGACACTGTTTCCCAGATAAATGTTTATTGCTTGTTAATACTCTTTATTAACAGTTTGAATTGACATAAATTGTAATATGTTGTCACAAATACGCTTGTGCTTAAACACAGACATATTAAAGAGTCCATTTTCAATTTGCTATTTAACTATTTTCAGAAGGCCTTAGCATAGGCTGAAATCAACTAAATAAAATTCATAGAATATATCAGAAATGAATGACTGTTCAAGAAATGTTTGACTCAATAACAAACCCCAAACGACTGACCCAGCTAACACACTAACTCACTTCTCCTTCTCTGCCCAGCATGACTTTGTGCGACGAGAACGCTCGCCGCGCATTCTCATCGACCTCATCCAGAGGACCAAGGATGCGGTGCGCGAGCTGGACAATCTGCAGTATCGCAAGATGAAGAAGATCCTCTACCAGGAGAAACACAACGGGCCCATGGGGGAGAGCCAGGAGGAGGAAGAGGTGGGAGGAACAGGGAGAGGGGAAGGGTTGAAAACACAGAGTTTATTTGGGGTAACAGGCAAAAGAAGAAAGTGGAGAACCAGGGATTCGAAACATGAAACCAGTTTAGGTCCTTTTAGATTCTGACTTTCACTTCGGAGAGAAGTCTGTTGTTGTTTTCTTTTTTTTTCTGGGTTTTGTGGGAAACAGCACTAAATTCAGCTTATAATCATGTAGTCAAACTTTTGTTCAAAGTGTACACAAAAATCATCCACAGTGTAAATAAATACTGACAAGGAACAGCACCAGAAACAGTAACAGAGCCAACTGACACTATAGTAGATGATACAGAGATGAATAATAACCCAGTCGTCAGCTAAAAGGCAGCTGAGCTAAGAATGCGTATGATCTGCTAAACTGCTGATTATTGTACGGCTTCGTATTGCTGCCGCCCCAAAAAAGTTTGAAAAAGTTAACTGTCTTTTTTTTCTCAGGATATCTAGATACAATATGTTAAACAAAATATTTTCACGTGGTTTTGACATACAAACTTTTTTGTTATAGCAGTATACTATTTATGTTGTTATAAGATGAAGCATTTCACGTTATAACACAATAATGAATGATGCTCGTGTTTAAATGCTTTGAGAACAGATACGTTCAGGATGATGGCTCGTGTCCACAGTTTTGGGTTGAGACATGGTGAGATTCTGCTGCTTCGTACACAAAGATGGATTTTAAAATAAATGTACAGTTGTACAGAAGCAGAACTTGCAGTCAAACTTAATCAAATTGTGTAAATAATGAGTGTTCTTAAAATCATCAGCATTATTCCAATATAGGTTTCATGTTCTAAGAAGATAAATGCTGCAGTACATGAGTAACCTTTTCATTCTAACATGATGAGTTTGTACATCATTATAACACAAAAATATCTTTTTATAACAATTCATTTTTCAATTTCTAACGTGAAACTCATCTGTTTTACTGCTTGTGACAGGGCAGCAATACGCTTCCACTTATTTGTCAGTTGTTTGGTCTTTGATATACCTGAAAATACTGACAAACGCCACCAACAGTTAGCTGGAATGCAAGTTCACTTCTGTTTGACATGAAATATCCGCTGGCCAACAATCTCAACTTTTATGATATTCTGTTTATAATGATATTAAACAGACAGAATCGTAAATCTTTACGTTTGATAAGCTGGAACTAAAAGTATTTTTCACATTTTTGCTTAGAAAAATGACTTGAACAGTCAGTCCACTGATTGATTTACCCTGTAAGTTCTGCTGAAATGTGTAAATTGCTTATAGCACTTGTATTTCACTGCCGTAAGCGCGTTTGTCACTTTATTTTAGTCAATATGCCTCTCCTGTCTCGATCTGCAGCATCTCAGACAAAAGCTGAGGACAGGATAGTTTGTCTAAAGCGATGCTAAAGGAACTGACAGAAGGCACTTAAGTCTCCAAGAGGGAGAAAACTGAAACAGAACTTTTCTCCAAAATGGCCTTCTTAGCCAACTCAGTTATCATAAGGTCCCAAAAACACACTCAGAAATACACCTAACGGTTGCTCCCAGCAGTGTAACACACTTGACATCACAACAAATAGGAGTTTTCCTCCTGCAACCGGCGTAGTCTGACGTTGAGATGAAATGTCCCTTAGCTGACCTGGTCCTGAAGTGAACAGCCACAGCCATGTCATCCTACACCACGTGGTACAATTCAGAGCAGCCACCAGACCTCAGTGCAACAAGACACCACTGAAGGCTTTACTGAGGAAACCTGCTGCACCAAACCTCCTTTTCTAGTTTGATTTAAACATCCCGTCTTACAAAGCTGTTGTTGTAGACTCAAATGAATCGGTTTCTTCTTCTAAAACACACTGTTTTTTATCTACACACTCAAGTTGACCTCAAATCTGAAGATGTCTTCATCTGACCAGTGTCCAATAAAATAAGCACTGACACAGGTGGACGTTACACACACACTCACACATCTTAACAATTAGAGTTTAATAGGCAATTTACCATGACTTTGACTCTAATGCAATCTAGAGGACATCCGTTATTTTCCCCGTGTTGAGGTGACTGCGTTTAATGACGCAATTTTGAGATGCCTGCGTATAATTGGGTGAAGGACATGGGAGCCTATGTGGGTATGTTTTACCTGCAAGAGTATTCATTTGTGTTTATGAACATGTTTTCATGTGCACTTGCAGGACAGCGAGGCAGCCAGCTGCAAGATGAACAGCCTGGGCAGCAACCACTCCATCCCCAGCACCTCGGTCAGCACGGGTAGCCAGAGCAGCAGCGTGAACAGCATGCAGGAGGTGCTGGATGACAGCTGCTCCGACATGACCATGATGCACCCCCAGGACTACAGCAGCACCCTGGACTCCTCCCCGCACACCAAGAAGGTAAATGTCAGAGGTGAAGAAGGGATAGTCGCACCACACTGAACCAGAGATGGAACCGGGACAGCACCGTGAGCCAGTGGACATCGAGCCCCCCTTCATTTAACGCCATCCATCATGTTCTAAACATGCTCATCTGAACATATTTTGAACTTAATTTAATTGATTAACTATATAGGAACAGGACTTGTACAGTTATCTTCACTAGTCTGAGACATTTTCAGTCAAAATGCCTGTCAGACATTAATCTAACAGCATCTGAACATGTCGGCCTGATCACGTTCCCAAAAAGCAATCTTACTTGGTCCAACTTAGTAACATTTCTGTGTCACTTTCAACACAGCACAGTTCTGAGCTGCATGTTGTTGCACTGATAGGCATGCACTAGCTATGCACTTGGAGTTGTGTGAAGCATTTTGGGGAAGAAGTTTTCCACATTTCAGCACCAGCAGTGGTCCAAAAACATCACAAAGAGAGCAAAAGTCCCTATTTGTGTTCCAAAATCCCAAAACAACCTTCTCATTTAATTCACCCGACAGATTTGCATCAGTTACTAACTTAAATATCAATAGTAATATAACCTATCTGTGAGGAAGCCAGATTAATGAGATTGCCCAGTTATAAATGTAATGTAGCAATTAAAAATGTTAACGGTAGCTGAAGGTGCCTCCAGCTGTTTGTAGGAGTCTTTCCTCTGAGTTCATTAAATACGTGCTGCATCAAACAGCAGCAGGATCCATATGAGCATCTTCAGAGTGAGAGAGCTGCATGCATTTAAGCATTTGAAGCATCAGGGTACCTTTATTTATTCCTGTTCCATAGCAGACATCCTCAGGTTGAGTCCTGAGCTCAATCACAGCTGGATATTTTTATTTTCTTGTTTGTAAAGTAGTAGTTAGATTCTCCTTACACATGGGCAGAATTTAAGAGAAATGAGGTGGATGAGGAGGAAATAAAATAAGCTATTAGTTATTTGGACAGTTTGATAAGCTTCCTATTAGTGTAAAATTACACTTTTGTTTATTATACCTATTATATAAAACTCAGGTGCTGTCCAATCAACCAAATATTGCATTGTGGTGAATATGTCTGAATGAAGACACGAGGAACATTAATCTGAAAGCAAGCTATATCTGAATGATAGAACGCCATCACTTTAGGAGACTAATGTCACGTGTCCCATGTCTGAAAAAGGCTCACATCAGAAGTAGGGTTTTATCATGACAAGATGAAGGATTTATCAAGTGTCTGAAATCCAAATTATTACAAAATTCAAATTTCCATCACTTTCCATCAAATTCCACTGATTTCTGGTCAGTTTTTTCAGATGTCTTGCTGATAGAGGGACAGCCAAATTAACACCAAGCACAAGTCCGACCTCCTTGGTGTGGCTAAACCTATGATTAAAGACAACAAGCACACTGCACTTAGATATAGCGCTTTTCTACCTCAGTGGCACTTTACAATGTTTTCTCATTCACCCATTCGTACACATTCATACACCAATGGTGACAGAGCTGCCCTGCAAGGTGCTGCCTGCCATTGGGAGCAACTTCAGGTTCAGTGTCGTATTCCTGTCCAGTAATTGCCCTCAAGTATAGGAATAAGAATGTGTATATCATAGTATTATACAAAGACAGCAAGCAGAATCCAACAATGCCATCTTACTTCTTTTCTGAGGTAATAACTAAGCACTTCATAAATGAAAAGGAAGCATGGCTCCTCGCAAACATCCTCTGGTTTCTCTGACTGTTTTCAAGAGTATGTGTAAATCCCTTCCCCCCTCCCCCGAAACCATGGAAACCATTGACACAGTCCTCAATGTTTGCAGATTGCTTCAAGTTCATCACTGACACCATTCACACTTTGAGAACAAAGGCTGCATACACATGTCAACAAGCAGCACACACACTCCTCACAAATTCCCCACTTACATCTGTCATCCTGCGTGCACACACACACACACACACACACACACACACACACACACACGCAGGTCAACACAATGGCTGACATCCTCGTAGAATATCTCATATGACTAAAAATGTGTGAAGAGAGGGCTGTCACTTCTCTGTCAGTCTCTTTCTTCATTTGCTCTTTGTATTTCGACAGTGCATGAATAAGGTTGTCACTTTGCGAACAGACAGCCAGTGTGTTGTTTCAAGTTCAGGGGCTGAGTGGAGAACAATTGAAAGTGACACATATTGTTTTCAGATGCTGATGAAGTTCCCTCCTCACATGAATCAACTCTTTGGTCCCTGAGCTGCCGAAGATGTTCAGACAGTTTTTAATGGAGGGGGGGGGATTGAGTGCTGACGTTTCATCGTGTTTTGCAAGGTTACAGTTGACGCCGTTTTAGCAAATGCTTTAGATTCCTTTTGAAATTTTGAAAGCTATACGAGTGAAATCAACGGGGAGTTTTGTTATTTACAAAGTCACAGAATTACAATGACGAATTTAAACGCTGGTACACTTTTTAGTGAGTTAATGTCTTGGAAGCGTCCTGCAGCGCTGCACAGTTTTCACCTTCATTTCAGTGTCGTTTGCTCTTTTATTATCGGAACTTTGTGCCATAAGTCATTTTTCTCCACTCTGTTTTACACAGGACCATCAGTACAACTGGGACGATGGGATCCACAGAGACCACCGACCAGAGCTGAGGCCAGTCTCCTCTGACAAGAGCAGCCATGCCCAAAACTACAAAAACCAGGGCCGCTTTGCAACCATAAAGTCAGCTTCACTAGTAAGACTCAAGAAAGGCTTTCCTTTTGTCTACTGTTGTCTTTTTTTCTAGGTCCTAAAAACAAGTTTTCTGTGAGCTGAAAGGGTTTAAGGTTTGTTCATTTGTGGAATATTCACTCTGAAAGTGGTGTCGCTTTTATACCTGAAAAATGGAAGCAAACAGAGCTTTTATTTTGCTATTTGCTATTTATATAGCAAATGTACCTGCGGGTGGAAGCACAAACTGTAAACTTCTCATGGAGGTTGCAAGCATGACAGTCATAAATCACAATTAACGGTCTGAACCCAAAATCCCACCAGCGAATTTGAAAGGTATGTCATATTTTGAAAATTTCCCAAATTACACAATTTATCTGAGCCAAAAACTGTCAGAACTGTCAGAAAACGTAACCAAGTCCAAGCTTAGAACATCCATCCATCCATCCATTATCTATACACCGCTTAATCCTCATTAGGGTCATGGGGGGCTGGAGCCTATCCCAGCCGACTTAGGGCGAAGGCAGGGGACACCCTGGACAGGTCGCCAGTAAGCTTAGAACAGTTCATCAAAATTACTTTATTGTACATGTCTGTGTTAAAACAGTAACCAAAAAATGAACCATTTGTTCCTGCCTGATGTTGTAAAAACACAAATAATTCTGCTCTTTTCCACGTAAAAATGAAGCTATTGGTGTTCAACTGTGACCAACAGTCATGCAACATCATTTTTGGGACTTTCAGCTGAACTGCAGGCTGTGTTTATAGAGTGGATGGAAAAAAATCAAAGAAATGTCACTTTCTAACTTTTTTTTTCTCTCTCTTTTTTTGTGATAAATGATAAATGGCATTATAATTCTGTTATATGAACCAGTAGACATGTCTGAGTTCTCCCTACTTCTAGCCATGGCTGTGCTTTTTCCCATAGAGGTGCAGGACTTTATATTGTAGTGAGCCCACTGTGAGTAAAACTCTGACAGGAGACAAAAACACCCAAAAACTGCTTTGGGTTCAGACGGTTAAAACGAACTCATGAATAACACCCGTGAGTTAAAAACCATTGAGAAAATAAAATAACTGAGATCAACAACCAACCAGTAGGAAAGATTACTCATTGCAGAATCCCTTTCAGAGTGTTATGTTTACGCTGCAGCAGCATATGAAGGCGCAGAAGGGACATTCTTTTGTTTCTCTCTGTTTAAACCTGTCTGTGAATGTGGCGGGTGAACGCTGAATGTCTCCACGCTGAAGACACGTGATCCATGTTCGAACAAGCTGATGTTTGTAAACGCTGCGTAAGAAGCTCGCATCTGTTTTTGATATTTTTTCAGTTATTTCCCCCACATCAGTCCATCTTTTTGGCGCTTCTCTACAGTTTTGGCCTTATTCTCCGCCACGTTGTTCTCCGCTGTTGTTCCTTTAACGCACCTCGCTCCTTTTGTTTCCTCCTCTTGTACTATGCTCAGCGTTACCACTCCCCTCCCTCCACCCACCTCCTTTATTTCTTCCTCTCCTGCATTTGATAATATATCATTCTCAGATTCGACTCAATATTCTCAGGCGAAGGAGTTGCAATGCGCTCTCTCTCTCTCTCTCGCTCTCTCTCTATTTACTCCTCTGTATTTCTATGCCTCTCTCTCTCTCCCTCACTCTCTCCCTCCCTGTCTGTTGTCATGGAAACCAGCTCTAGTAACTAGAAAGTAGTTGTGGTGTTGTGCGCATGTGAGTGTGTGTATGTGTGTGTTTACCCATCCATGACCCACTGGTTTTAATTGTGATTCCCTTCTGCTATCAGGTCTTAAACCAGACATCAGAGAACATGAGCCGGGAAGATGTTTGTGTGTTTTTGTGTGTGTGTGCGTGTGTGCGTGTGTGCGTGTGTGTGTGTGTGTGTGTGTGTGTGTGTAGTAGACTGTGTGTCCTCATGCTGTCCTTGACCAGAGCGCGAGCCACCGATAATCCAGGGATGTGTGTGTTTTTGTGTTGACGTCCATTGTTTTTTCTTCTGTACTCACACGTTACAGGAGGTTTTATGTCTTCTTCTTGTTTTTGTTTTTTTTTACACTCGTAGCGTCTCATGAATCGCAGTGACACAGACCATAATAGGAATCCAGTTGGTTTCCAGGATGCACCATTGAAGTTTGTGACTTGTAGTAAAGGCACAGCACTATGAAGCAAAGAGTGAAGCAATAGGAAACAAAAACATGTATTCCAAGGAAAGCACCTATTTCCAATATATTTTCCATTTTATGACTAAAATTGTATCCGTGTCCTTTTAAAACATGTGCCATGTACGCACACTGTGGAAAATATTATCCTCAGATAACCTTTTGCCAGTGTTTCTACGGATGCTAGTGAAGAACAAAGAAGCTTTTTTTTTCGTTCTAGTTTATTTCTTCTAAGTGTTTTTCTGATTCATTGTCGTTGCATAATCATGACTTACCTGAGAGTATCTCATTATGACATATTGTGCCGAGACACAGGGGCTCACTCGCACGTAATTTGCATCTTTCCTCTCACCAACTCTTCTTTGGTTGCTTTTCCTTTTATTTATCTGTTAAAAAAAAAAACAAGTCTAGATTCCTATTTTAAAACAATAGGAGGTAGCTGAAGTGGCGGCACACTCTCTGCCTGTCTTAAAAAGAGGCAGCATCGTGTAAACCACAGCGTCTCTGTTGTGTGATAACACCAGCGCTGCCCGCCGGCGCTGAAAGAGGATGACATCATCTCTTTCTGCCGAGCGCAGACGTCCTCAGATTGGCCTCGACTCGCCGAGACTGGAATCAGCAGGTAGACAAAGAGAGAGAAGAGAAGAATGGGGGGTCCAGATGGTGAGGGGTGACGGATCGCCAGAGAGAGGGAGGAAGAAGTGAGAGAACACGAACAAGAAGGAATGATTAAAAAGGGAAGATTAAAAAAAAAAGGGGGAGAAAAAAAGACACTCTGTCGGTAATAAATTGCAAAAACACAAGTATGCAAATGACTAAGTGACAAATTTGTTGTGAGAAATTTACTCACATTCAAAAGACGAAACAAGGCGATAGAGAACAGATTAAAGGGTGAGCGAATTGAAAACAGCAAGGTGACGGGAGAAGGTAAAGACGTGGTGGAGGACACAGATGGCTGATATCGGGGAGATAAGAAGGACAGATAGAGGGAAGGATGGATAAACAAGCAGAGGTGAGACAAAAGAGCAGCGCTGATCGAAATCTGGAGTGACAAAGAAGGACAACGAAACCCGTCAACCTCTTCTGGTGGCACAAAGTCCAAAAACACGCGACGGAGAGGGCATGAAAAGAGAACGAAGAGAAGAAGAAGAAGGGAGCACAGGATGTAAAGTCACCCTGGGAGATGTATGGAAAAGGGAGGGAGGGAAACTGCTGAAAGAAATGGATGCAAAGCGAGAAGTGAGACATAAGTAGCGAGTGAAAGGGGAGGGCAGGGGTTATTATAGGTTAGATGAAGTCACCAGCTGAAGCTCAAGGCGGCGTGAAAGACAACATGAAATATTTCACTTCATCTGCTGCTCGACTTGTCTTCAGCTGCTGGTTTCAGGTTGTAGCCTGACAGACTGCACGCCGACGGCACATTACAGTCGAGTTTAAGGCGAATCAAAACATGCACCTTCCCCATCAGCCAGCTTTCTGCAGTGACAGTTTGAGCGTATCACTTGGAGCGATATGCCTTATGGTGTCTTCTGTGTAGTTCTACATATTTAGAAAAGAACTGAAAGACTCACTTCACAGGTAAAATCAGAAGTTGCAGTCAAACTAAATGCCCCTATTTTGCATTTGTGTCCCAATGAGACACGTTAGAGCACAGAGCCCCCACATTTCTGTATCTACAGGAAAACAGGACACTAAACAAGAGTCTTTAGAGGCTTTTTGCTTCCTCCTTTCTGCCAGATGACTTCGCCATATGTTACTATACATCTGTAGCAACATTCAGTTCAAGTGCAGCCTCCTCCTCTATACCTGACAAAGAGCCACCTCTGGCTTGAAATATGTTTTTCTTAATGTTATGATGAAGAACACGACAGCGTTTTGGAAGAAGAAAGACTCTTCCTCTATTCTCCAGTGAAATATTACATTTATAAATATAAGAACTGCTGACTTGCATTGTTGCGTTCTGACTTGAACTTATTGAACTGTTCTGCAGAGAAAAGGGTTTCTTTTTAAATCGAAGGCAAAATTAAGAAACTGGCTCCACTGATTCCCCATTCAGTGTCTTACTTACACAAACAGAAGCACACATTTTTCTGTCTTTGCATTTTCTTCATGATAATTGGTATTACCATAAATTTACAGTTGTTATTTAGGAGCAGAGCTGGGGTTAATTCACACTTACAGACTGTCTTCTTGCAGTTTTGTTTGTATCAAATTAATAGAAATAGTCCACATAGACATGCAGACTGGTTGAGCTTAAGATTTCCCCAAGCGGATGAATAAAGTCTCTATCTGGCTGTGTTTGATCTCAGTGGATATGATCTGATCCCAGCTTTGCTCCTAAGTAACCTAAATAATAATGCAAAAGACACAAGTGTTTGTGTGCTGGGCAGCGAAGACACCGAAAAGGAAATTAGTAGAGCTGGTTTCCTAATTTTGCCTATGATTTAATGTGATTAGAAACCCTTTTCTCTGCAAAACATTTGAATAATTTTAAAATTACAATGATGCAATTGAGCATTGGAGACTAGAGGAGTGTTACAGCATTTCTTCCCTTCTATAAACCATGTCCTCGCAAGACAACGTTAAATTTCTTGAAGACAGATCCACCTTCATCTGCAAAACGAGCAAAAATAAATAAGGTTCAGCTGCTCGGTTCCCACTGATCTTATTGGAGCATTCACCTTTAGCCTGCATGCCCCCCTCCCCTCCATGAATATGATCTCCTTTCCAGTCCCAGAGCCTTGTGTGAAAGAGGCCGTCACATGACGTGACTTGGCCCTTTGTGGCAGCATGCAGGGTGGCAGTGAAGCAAGTGACTGGGATTGGGAGGCTCTATTACAGTAGGGGTATTGATTCAGCGCAGATTAAGGAGAAAGGCGAGTTCAGCCTCCACCTATTTCCACGCCAACAACCCCCCCACCGCCGCCGCCTCCTCCGCCCCAGCTTTCGCTGTAGATGCTCTTATTTTACTTCTCATTATTTCCATTTCTTCTTTTCCCCCTCCGCTTAACTCTCTCCCAGTCACTCTCCATCTGCTGTTACTCCTTTGCAATCACCCTCCCTCCTCTCTAACCACCACCTCCTCCCCCCCTGCCACCCCCTCTCCAACTTCTCTCACTCTTTCTCAATGAGGTATTCATGTGACCCACCTGCTGTCCGCCGCTTAGCGTTGGCCCGACTAAAGAGCAGCTCTGTGCTCTTGTTGGCCCGCGGAGTCGGCCTGCCTCATTCACAGTTCACACGTCTGCCTCGGCCGGAGAGGGAGGGGGGTTCAACGTCCAGTAACAGGGGAGGGAGGGTGGTCTTGGGGTGGCATCGGAGCTCGGGCAGGATTCTGTCGGGGGGCATAGGATGCTCCACAAGGTTCCTGGATGCTGGTGCACTTGGCTAAAGTCGCCATCATGTTTGGCCTGAGGAGTTCAGGTGGAAGCTATGAGAAGATGCGGAGCGAGTACTACCTAGATGTGGAGAACCCTTTCTGTCCTCAGGTTGGTGTGACAGGTGTAGGTTTTGGATAAAAAAGGGGGGGAAAAAGGATGAGAGGAAGTGTTGAGGCATGACAGTGTTTTCCTAATCTTAGATTAAATTTAGTTGTGTAGCAGCTGTTAAATATTGTTTGAACAACTTTTTTTCTTGCTCCATCTGGCTTTAACACAATTTGAGATCTTTTGTGGTTGCCTGTTCTGTGCAGTGGCTGTGCGATGGTCAGATAAAAGAGCTTTTGTTTGGGCTCTCGTGGTGGATTTCACAGTATTTCCTTTTTAATACTGTAATTTCTCATTATTTGTCGAAGTTTTTACCTCTGTAAAGCTGACAAATGTTGCTGATTGCAGCTGTGATGCTTGACAGTATTGAATGAATTCTGTTTTCACTTCTTCTTGATGAAGATATTGCAGGAAAATCTATATTTACAAATGATAGGGGACTTGTTATACCTTGTTGTGTGGATGCAGCCTATACTTTAATACCCTTTTGTCTGTAGGGAATGCATGAAATATTTCTTTTTTTTTTAATCTCATCAAAAAAATCTGATTTCGTCACGCTCACAACTCCTAACTTCTCTTTCTCCACAGGTGACCAAACAGATCCACGAGCATGAGCAGGAAAGCGAGCTGCGGGAGCAGATGTCGGGCTACAAGCGCATGCGGCGGCAGCACCAGAAGCAGCTGATCGCCCTGGAGAACAAGCTAAAGGCCGAGATGGACGAGCACCGGCTCAAGCTGCAGAAGGAGGTGGAGACGCAGGCCAACAACGCCTACATCGAGCTGGAGAAGCTGGCAAAGCGCCACGCCGTGCACACCGAGAAAGAGGTGGGATTTGCGCGGGGCGTTGGGGGTTATAGGACACGAGTGGAAAGGCATCAGTGGAAGCAGTAACTCCTAAGTTATCTCACAGATGATCATACCGACCTACATGTACCATGCAACAGTTGGCTGGGGGGACGAGGTCTGCTTTGGAGACCCGGGGAAGGACATGATATTGACTCTATAGCTGCTGGAGAAGAGCTTGTGGAAAAGTTCAGAATGTTTTGAAGCAGCTCAGTCTTCCATTGAGGGAAATTTAGCCAGAACTTTACACACTGCTGCCACCCAATGATACATAAGATGAACCACAAGGGCAGAAGTGGGTCACAGAATGTCACGCTCTGAAAAACAAGCTGCATATCTCTGTGATTAGCACACAGCGTGCTGGACCAGCCAGAGAGATAATGTATCTGTTGGTGTAGCAAGCATGTACACCTAAAGAGCTACATAAAAACACAATCAGCCAGGTAAACCAACAGGTTACCGCACGGCTGATTGGATTTTTACAAACAAACTGTGCACCATCATCTCAAATTAGGTTGTTTTAGCATTTAGGGCAACCAATTCTTGGATCGTTTGATGTAAAGTTTGACCTGCAACTAAAAGCTTATTGAGCCAAGCATGTTTTTCCAGTTCAGGAAAATTGTGTGTTCAGTTACACCAGTCATTTCTTCAGATGCCTTTGTCAAAAACCCAAAGAAATTCAGGTTACAATGATATTGCCGTCCATTTTTGTGCGTCACCTAAACACTGTATTGTCATGTTTGGGGGGGAAAAAAACGCTTACAATGATAATAAATATAGAAAAACTCTCGCTGGAGCAGTTGGGATCAGAGAATGTTTGATGTTTTGCATGAAAAATAACAGAAATTAGGGACTGATTATCAAAGCAACTCTTGTTATTTTGATATGCAGTAGATTTTAGGTGGTGTCATGCACGTATATGACTACACGCTAAGAATATACAGTTCAGTGTTGTACCCATAGGCTGAACTCTAACAGCCTTTCACTCTTGTTATTTCACATGTCCTCCAGATGAAGACGGCGCTGACAGATGAGAAGAAGTTCCAGCAGCAGATCGTGGCCCAGCAGAAGAAGGAGCTCACCACTTTCCTGGATAATCAAAAAAAGCAGTACAAACTCTGCAAGGAGAAGATAAAGGAGGTGTGCACCGCGTTTGTTGGTTTTCCATTTGTTCCTCCTCAGACGAGCTCCTTTGTACGCCTCTCTCATGTGTGACACACGGTCCTGCGTGCTGTTTACTGTTTGAATCAGCCCTCCTACACGCTAACATGCACATTCAGTACCTCCAAATTGGCCCTTTGGAAGTTGTGTTGAGTCACTCAGCCTACTTGCTATGTACCTACATATGTATATAAGCAGCAAACATGGAAAAACATGGATCCATATGCACACTAGAGCATTTGTGTGCCTCCACAACCTTGAAAACAGAAGTCCAGAGAGCACTCCTGTGGGCTGGGAGTGTGATACACTGTGTTTTCAGTTAGAAGATAAGTGACCAAAATTAGGTCAGCACAGTTAAAAGAAAGCATCACTGGCAGGGAGAGATATTTCCCACCAACTGTGGGCTATAACGGAATTAGACACCACAGAGAGCGGGGATCAGGCTCATGTGTTAAGTGCATTAGCGCGAGTTGTAGATTACCTTAAAGTCCATGAAAGAGAAAGAGAACTCATACTGAGAAGGGATAGATGTGGCTGAGTTTTTCTAATTTTTTTTTTTTTCTCTTTCAACCTTCCTCTGGCTATAGAAGTCATCTGTAGTTCAAAATGAAAGGTCAGCTGCAGTGTGCCATATGTTCTAGCTACAAACACTTGATAATGTGGACTTGCATGAAGGGTTTGTCTTCATTTGCATTCCAAACATGCATATATATTCATAAAATCTGCTTTTTTAGACCACATTTGCCCAAACTAGAGCGCTCATCACCCATTGCCCACAATGGATTATCACAAATTTACCACTTTTCATTATTTTATTCGTAATATTTACCAGTAATTGGCTTGTTCTCCTTCTCAGGAGATGAACGAGGACCATAGCACACCCAAGAAGGAGAAGCAGGAGCGACTGTCAAAGCACAAGGAGAATATGCAGCATTCCCAGGCCGAGGAGGAGGCCCATCTCCTGGCCCAGCAGAGAGTTTTCTACGACAGGAACTGCCGCGCCTTCAAGCGCAAGGTCATGATCAAGAGACACGACTTGGAGCAGGAGCAGATCCGAGAGGTGCGGAGCGTCTTTTAATGACATCTCGTGCAATCAAAAATGGGTACAATTAATTGGTGAATGTTTGATTTGTCCTCATGAAACCTTTGTTTGTTTGCTGTAATTGTTTGCAACGTCGGAGGGGGAAAAGCCAGATGGGATTTTTTTCACAGCAAACAACAATATGTCTGTAATAATTACACCTATTGTTTTTCAGATCAGCGAGGTGTTTTTTCACCAACTATAAGTAGATTATTAGAGAGCAAAGCAAGCCAACAATGTCATAATCTGAAAAGCTGTTGGGAAAATCTTAGAAGGTCCACATGCTTTCAGTGGGAAAATACACAAAACTCAGGACATGTTTAAATAGAAGATTTAATGTAATTGATTTTTACGATGCTGATGACGACAGTAAATGTTGTAATCCTGAAAGAAACAAATTAGTCTCTACAAGTAAAAATGTCTCCTCTTGGTCCACTCAGGAGCTGAACAAGAAGAAGACCCAGAAGGAGATGGAGCACGCCATGCTGATCCGCCACGATGAGTCCACGCAGGAGCTGGAGCAGAGGCAGCTGAAGACTCTGCAGAAGCTGCGGATGGACCTGATCCGCCTGCAGCACCAGACGGAGCTGGAGAACCAGATCGAATACAACAACAGACGCGAGCGCGAACTCCACCGCAAGCACGTGCTGGAGCTCCGGCAGCAGCCCAAGAACCTCAAAGTGAGTCGAAGCAGAGGCGGTAATGGTTTTCAGTCCAGGGTTTTCATGGTTCTGGTGGTAGTTGTCGGTATAGAGGCAGGTACTTGAAATGCAAGGCTTGTGGTTTTGAAAAAAAAAAACAAAAACGGTTTTAGAAATTCTTTAGTTTCCGTCTGTTGTCTTTGAAAAGACAACTGGGATCCACCTCTAAGATGGCGCAAGCAACGAGCAACATCTTTTGTGTTGTGGGTAGTTTTTGATAAAACAGTGATGCAACACGAATGTAACGAATTAATTTGGAAAAATGGTGTAAGAACATACGAAATGTGTTATCTCCGAGTTTGATTTCATTTTAATTTGCTTCGGGGGGGACACAAAGACTGGAACGGTGGTTTTCGCCTGGGGTTGTATTTGACCTGTAACCTTTAGCAGCCGAATTCTCTCACAAGTTTATGACAAAGAGTAACAACAGCAGACTTTAACTTGTTGTATTCTTCTCCGCCGTTGCTGTTTTTTCCGTCCCATCCGCCAGGCGTTGGAGCTGCAGATCAAGAAGCAGTTCCAGGACACGTGTAAGGTGCAGACCAAGCAGTACAAGGCCCTGCGCCACCACCAGATGGAAGTTACGCCCAAGGCCGAGCACAAGACGGTGCTCAAGGCCCTGAAGGACGAGCAGACACGCAAGCTGGCCATCCTGGCTGAGCAATACGAGCAGAGCATCAACGAGATGATGGCCTCGCAGGCGGTGAGCGGAGCGACATCAACGTATTTTCTGGAAAATCATTTAGAAAAGCAGGAGGATTGTTTTTCGAATGAGATCATGACGTCTTTCTCTCCACCTGTTGCTTCTTCTTTTGCATTTTCTCCTCCGTGTTTGCCCTTGTCTCTCGTCTTTGTCTGTTATTTCTCTCACCCCTCACCGTCTCCCTTCACGTCTCTACCCAACCTCCCCTCCCTCTCCACTGTCTTTCCATTTCCTTCCATCCCTTCGTCACCGCCTCCCCTCCCCTCCTTTCTGTCTCCTTATTCTTTCCATTTCTCGTCCATGTACCCCCTCTCACCCCTCTCCCCCTTCATCTCCCCTCCACCCCCCTGTCTCTTTGTACCTCCCTCTCTCCCCTGTCGTGGTTCGTGGTCGGCTGTGTCAGCTGCGTCTGGACGAGGCCCAGGAAGCCGAGTGCCAGGCCCTGAGGCAGCAGCTGCAGCAGGAGATGGAGCTGCTCAATGCCTACCAGAGCAAGATCAAGATGCAGACCGAGGCGCAGCACGAGCGCGAGCAGCAGAAGCTGGAGCAGAAGGTGTCGCTGCGCCGGGCTCACCTGGAACAAAAGGTGGAGTGAAGGAAACACTCAGGACTCACTTGGGTTTTTCTGCAGGCGTTGTTGAGCGATTCAGTCAGGAGTCTGTCTACAAAAGAAAGGAATGAAATGCTCAAATAGTTCAAGACACGCTCCTTCTTAAAAGTACAATAAACTGACAAAGCCAAGAAATAGATTTTCTTCTGGTTCAGGTATAAAAACAAATGATCCTCTGGCCTGAGGCTGGCGATAAACTTAAAATAACCCCACCAATTTATAATTTGTCCAATCCTTCCTCCCAACCCTGTTCAATTTTTAACAAAACACACTTTATCCAATGTGGGAGGAAAAGAAAGCACAAAGCAAAACTGTAGTCCTGACAGAATTTATAAGACAACACAGGGAGGAAAGGCAACCTAAGGCTTCACAAGAAATAAAACGCAAACATAAAATTAGGTTAGGCTGAGTTTAAGGCCAATGAGTGTGTTGAATAATTGAATGGTTGGCTAACGTGCCAATTTTAAAATTGTATGATATTGTTGAGTCAGTTTGAGGACACTTGATTCAAATGTTCTGCAACACTCTGAACACCTTTGAGGAAAGAATGTCAGAAAGGACTCATGGCAGGCCTTTTTTCACACTGTACAATACGTATAAACCTGATTCCAGCAACTTTAATTGAATTGTACTGAACCTTTTGTGGCCTTTTGGGGCATAAACTACTTAAAACTCCTTGTAGACTTCATTAAAAGCACCGTCTTTTATAAGAAGAAGCAAAACATCAGCAACAATTAAGAGATCTTTCCTCCTCTGCTACGGCCTGAACTAAAGCTTTCCCAACTGGTACTAGTTTCATATTCCTTCAACGCGATATTAATACAAGAAGTAGGGAAACCTTTAAAAGATCTGAGGCACGCGTGTGGAGACAAACACCAGCAGGCGGCAATTTGTTGCGATACAACTAGTCGACATCGACGCTCGTGTGGATACACATTTGCATCCACATCAGCAGGCAGTGCGGGCATGAAAGGCGACCCAGACAGACATCCACAAGTTCACACAGACGCACACACAGATTTCCTTCACCACAGGTGGCGATGACAGTGGCATGCCTTCCTGCAGGGTGCAGGCAACCGTTTCTCTCCCACACACTCCCAACGCTGGTGAAATCTCCAGACGTCAGTGTCTTATTACGGCGTTTTCTTTAGGCTCTATCTTCTAATGGTGCACAGTTGGACTCATTATTAAAGGTTGTTGTGTGTGTGAAATCTTCAACGTGGCCAAAATCACTCCACTGTAAACTTTTTATTGTTGTCAATTAAAACATAGTATTAATTATGACATCTGCGGCTAGGGGCTGGGAGTTTGCTTTGTTATAATTTTACACAAATTTGACAGTTTTATCAGTGTCTGTCCCGTAACGTGATTCCAACACAGCCCAGTTAGAGACATCTGTCGTCTTTAATGTGACAATTCGGGCGACCTGTCATGTATACCAATGACATGTGATAAGACGAGAGCGTCCGCCTCCTTCCAAAGGGACCTACGTCATCGCCACAGTCTAGTAGACAGCACTCCGACAACAAAGGGAGAGACGTTTGAAATGCCGCCCTGATCCAGTTCTGCCGGTCCGGTGTAGCCCTGAGCGAGCCGCGGTGGTCTGTTGCCACCTCCTGGCGGCGTCCGGGATCTGCACACCGGGACCGAGTGGTGGTGGTGGTGGTGGGGGGGGGGATGAGATGATGTCATGGTTTTTCAGAAGCACTATTGTCCTCCGGTTCGGTTCATGGTCAGAGTCTAGAGTTTTCTGTGCATGCTCAGTCGTCGGCCAGATTGCCGTATTGCACCATGCAGTGCTTTGTCTGCACCTGTGGATGTGTGTGTGTTGATGTGCCGACAGATCCAGCAAACTCCACAAGAGCAACTTACTCGTACCTTCAGTGCAGAAACAACGCACATCAGAGTCACACACGTATCACCGTGTAACAGATCACTGAGGTTGTTTAGTGAGGATATAAAACAACTAGTGAGAGAACAGCTCTGCAGCACAAACATGCTGCATTCGTAAAGGTGACTGTGTTGGTTTCAGGCTGCATTCTCTACTGCAGTGTAATAAACTGCATTGTGATGGCAGTTCTGTCTCTTGTTCTCATCCAGTAAAGCACATTTCAACAACAGAACTTCAATATTAAATGCTAAATCAGGAGGTGCTGCTTAAAGCCAAAGATTTACACCAATTATTCACAACTACAAGTATTTTTACTCGTGTTATTGATTCGTTTGCTCCTCCAGCGATCGAATCAATTTGTTGGGACACCGCAAATAATATTGGCTGCTGACAACAACTGAATTCAATTTAAATGTGTCGGTTCCTGGCGTTGAGCTCACAGGCTCACTCTAAAACAGAGCAGAGACATAATGAATGTGATCAGATGTCACCTTTTCCTGCTTTCCCAAGTCAACCAGTGATCTTAAAATAAGACACATCAGCAGGAATATTTTAATAAAACATAAAGTTACACAGATAAAGTTTTAATTCTATCATCCATTTTTTAATTTACACTTTTGCATGATTGATAAAATTCAAGTGTTGTATTTCTCATATTGCTGTTTAATTTGACAGAACTTGTCGTGTCGGATTGTTTTGTGAAGGACTTGAGTTCATGGTTGTATTTGTTTGAAGTGTGGAGCACAAAAAGCATGAATGTTGGACAGAGGATGGCCGACACTGTAAAAAAGTATATGTGTGCTGCAGCTGTTTTTAATCATCTGGTGAGCTTTCTGAATTCAATTTGAAATGACCCTTGTGACTGGGGCTTTAATTTTGGGGAACGTTTGAAAAGTAGGTGTACTGCTCCTTTAGCTTTCCTTCAGATTTTTGTGTTGAAACTCAACCAGCATTTTCTCCAAATACATTCATAGAGGACAGAAAATTAAGTCTGCTTTTTTGGGGGGGATTTGGGAAAAGCAGATGCTTAAGTTGGAAACAGTTGGTTGAAGCGATTCAAAGCGTTTCCAGTGATTTAAGTCCCTAAGTGTGACTTTTTCCCCATTATTTGGATAAACTCAGCTCACCTGCATGTTACCAACTGAAGCAATTCATTTAAGTTGGTCCCGTTGTTTCAGTGTAAGGCTGTTAGAAGTTTATAATAAAGTCTCAACCTGCTGGCCTTTCAAAAAAACATAAGATAAAACTTTATGAATCCATCACAGGGGAATTAACAAGTTACAGCAGCTATAAACAGTAATTACAAAAGTACAATAAGGCCAGAAATGAAGCTATAATAAGATGTGGACACACACAAGTCCAGCCTCGTCCAAACTAAAACAACTCAACTCCAGCTTGTGCTTCCTGCTCCTCCGTGTCTCCTGCAGATTGAAGAGGAGCTGGTTTCCCTTCAGAAGGAGCGAACCGACCGGATCAAACACCTGCTGGAGCGCCAGGAGCGGGAGACCGACAGCTTCGACATGGAGAGCCTGCGTCAGGGCTTCGGCAACCTGGGCACCCTGGACTTTCCCAAGGACGACTACAGATGAGGGGGGGACCGCCGCCGTCACCGTCTCTCGTTGTCCTCCTCCCCCAACCACCACCAACCACCCACCGGGCGTCCGTCCGTCCGTCTGCCTCAGAACAACCCTCCTCTCCTCCGACCTGACCAACAAACAAACAAACAAACAAACAAACAAACCGCGTCTCCAAGAAGCAGCTGTTCTCTGGGCTCCGGCTCCACGGCAGGTTCCAACCTCCCCATCACCTGGACTTCCTCCTGCCCCTCTTTGCCTCCTCTCGTGGTGTCACAAGATGACAAAAAAAAAGAAAAAGAAAAACTATGCTGGAGAACTTCCTGTAGTTGTTTTTGTAATGATAACATCGTCACCGTGTTTCTCGTTTCTTGTGCAATGATGACACTTTAGGTGTGAAGCCGAGAGAGAAATGAGGGCAGTCCGGTCCACAGACCCACGCGTGTCCACAGCAGATTACTTCTGTTTTTTTTTTTTTTTTAAATCTCAACCAGTGCAAAAAAAAACAAATAAATCTCTCGAAGCGATAAATCAAAGCACCAATCCTTCCGCAGTCTGTGCTGCTTCTTTCAACGCCTTTTTGGTATTTATTCATCAGGAGATTTTTTTTTTTTTGGAACAAATTTGAATAATTTGATACTTTGAGAGAGAAAACTATCACCATGTACATAACACAGGTACGCTTCTAATAAATGTGACTCGTTGGGGTGCGTCTAATTCCTGGAGGGGTGGTGCTCCACGTGTGTGGTACTGATCTGTCTGCACTGACTGGAGGTCAATGTGAAAAATCAAACATGTGAACTCCCAGCTAGCACAAAGGGCTTCATGGGGGAGGGCAGGGGGACTTGTACTTTGTGTATAGAAGGATTTATGGAGAGCTTTTACTTATTTTCGTATCGTATTTTAACTGTCAACTCGAATCAGAAAAGAATTTTTAAAGGCGCTTTTTTTTGTTTTTGTTTTTTTCTCCTCCCCCCTCCTCAGATAGTATTTGAGGTCCAGTCATCTATCAGTGGGATTTTCATTTGATTTTTTTATTTTTATTTTATTTTTCCTCCTTTCGCTTTACACAACTCTCCGTGAGCGGTGTATTTTCTTATAAACCAGACCAGTATGATGCTTTATTATTGCATGCACTTTAATTTTTTTTTTCTTTTCCAGGTTAAAAGAAAAAGCATGAATCTGTCAGAGCTTTTAATTATATTTGTAAATAAAGTGCTCATCACACGAACCAAGGACGTGTTGGATCTGAATTCCTCCTATCGTCGCCTTCAGGTCGATAAAATGAACAAACCAGGAGAGAATAAAAAAAGACACTAGAGGTGAATATGTCAACCAGTAGATGTCACCACTAAACTTCTAGTTATTTACAACAAGACGAGGATTTGCTTTTTTAAAATTTGCATTGTTCCACAGTAGAAACAAAAACAATCAAAAAACAAATCATTGGATAAAGGCCACCTGAACATTTTTGTTTAATTTTGTTTGGATATTAAAGGTTTTTGCAGAAGGGGTTTTAGATTTCTCTTTTCATGATTTCATAAATCAAAAAAATAAGAAATTGCCACGTTTTTAGGAATCAGATGTTCTATAAATCAACGAATGAATCTTTCAGTAAAATCCTTCAGAACATAGATGGGAGTAAAACTGGACTGTTTTATGTACGTTAGCACGACTGAGGTGAACATTTGTGGCTGAAAGTATTTTTTTTTAAAGACATGCACTAAAATCTAAATCCACAGACAAAAAAAAAAACAGCTAAATGTGTTTTTTCTTCACTTGCTATCTGGAAGAAAACATGTTATTGAAGCGAAATATTCTTAAATCTCAACGGCACTAAAAGCCCAGATCTTGCCTGTTGTCTTAATGATCAGATTTAGATTTGCAACAGTTTGAAGCTTCAGTGTTTTGTGAAGCACCGTGGAGCTGGAAACGTGGCTGAAGTTTTCTGTGCATATTCCAGCTTTGCTGCTTCTATTCTCGCTAAACTTCTACAGTTAATCCACTCTGTCAGGCTGCAGTGGCACAAATCCATCCATCCATTATCTATACACCGCTTAATCCTCACTAGGGTCATGGGGGGCTGGAGTCTATCCCAGCTGACTTAGGGTGAAGGCAGGTTCACCTGGACAGGTAACCAGTCTATCACAGGGCTACACTTAGAGACAGACAACCAAGCACACTCACATTCACACCTACGGACAATTTAGAATCACCAATTGACCTCAACATGTTTTTGGACTGTGTGGGAAGAAGAACCCGGAGAGAACCCACGCTGCACGAGGAGAACATGGAGACTCCACGCAGAAAGATCCTGGTGCTACCAACTGCACCACCCTGCAGCCCAGTGGCACAAATCCTCATCTCAGATTGCAGAAGTGGCAAAAACAAGCCAAGTCCACAGTGGAAAAATGAGAGATCCAACACAACAACAGTTACTTATTTCTAATCATTCAGGAGGCAAATCCTCACATTTCTAATAATGTATCATCACAATACGATTCACACGTTGTTCAGGAGGTTCTAGAAAACATTACAACCATCTCAGTGCGTGTCTCAGATTTATTGCAGATGAAAACAGGTGACGTCATTGACAGCAGCTGTTACTTAGTCACACATTGTTTAGGCAACGTTGGGAAAACAAAATACGTTCAGTGGCACAAAATTAGAGATGCTTTGTTATCGTCGTGGTTTTCTTTTTGCTTCTAGAAACAATGAGAACTTCCTACAGGGCAGCAGCCCCGGTGGGGATTCCAAGTGCTGAATGCTTTAGAGTTTAGTCTTTTCATCTTTATTTTCCAGCCAGCTGCTCGTACAGTTTGGGGACGTAGTCGTCCCACTCGGCCTGGTAGCAGGTTCCTGCCACCGGGGCTCCCAGGTTGTACTTCTGCCTGAAGCTCTGGATCTTGAACTTGCCGCGGCCGTCTCCGGAGCGGTTGGTGAGGACGGTTTCGGTGCAGGAAAGGCTGCCGGGCTGCTCGTACACCAGCCACACATACCTGTGGAGACCTGAGGGGGGGGGGCAAATACTGAGGGTTTTAAATGTTGCACTACACTGCAGGAGGAAAACATGACATCAGATATACTGTTTATATTCAACAGTGGCAGAAGCCCCAAATGAATACAGTTATAGTTTTATTTCAGCCAGTTTATGGTATTAGGCAATGAAAAGCATGTGTGTCTGCATGTCTCCATTAATATTTTGAATTTTAACACTCTGTAAGACTTGTTAAGAAATGTCTTCAAGGCTTTCAGTCCAACTTAATGCATGAACTCATTAGAATTTAACCTTTATATGGAATATTTCACAAACCTAATCAGGAGCTGGTAAAACAAAAACTTTCACTACAACAAAAAAAAAAACATGTCTGTCCTTTAAAGACAGGACTCTAACCTTCATTTTGTCCTACCTGTGCCTTTTGGAGGACCAGAGCCGACGTAGTCCGACATGACGCAGCCAGAGGAAACATCGTTCCCCTTCATGTTGACCACCAGGAAGTGGTGCCACTCCCTTTAAGGAAAAGGAAAAAAAAAAAAAATGCTATTTTTGTTTCTGACAGCACTGCATCCTACAATGTGCAGAATCAGACTGAATTCTGAGGAACGTACATGAGACACTAACTCAGTTTTCTTGCAGATAATTTAGCAATGACCGCCATATTTTTACCCAATACTGCAGCTGCCTTTTAGATAGATAGATAGATAGATAGATACTTTATTCATCTCCAAGAGAAATTTACTTTTATCCATTTCTGTTCAGTTTGCGTATCAGTGTTTCCTCATTCTTCTCACCTGAATTTGGGGTCTTTCCTGCTGGGAGCATCAGGATCAGTCAGAGCCAAAGTGTACAGTTTGCTGGAGTCACATCCCTCCCACTCAACGCAGGTGGGTCGGTTCTGCACCTGCAGGTGAACGGAGGCCAAAGTGAGCAAAGTTAATGCATCAAGTCAAATCATTGATGTTTATGTAGAACATTTAGCTTTTGCACAAAAGTGTTTTTCCAACATAGAAACAAGACAGACGTTACAAATTTGTCCAACAAGTTTACAAAACACGATTTAGATCATACAATATTATATAAATACATTATTTAAATTTACCTGACAATTTTAAATATTGAGCAGAAGTCTCGATGGTATTAAATATTATTATATAAATTTACTTAACTGTTTCAGTATTAGGGTTAAGACTCCACAATATAATTATTTAAATTTACACAAATAATTACAAAATTAAGGTTAAGAGCTTACAATATTATATGATAAAAATTTGCCAAAATAATTTAAATTCTAAGGTACAGAGCCTAAAATGTTATTATTTAAACTGTCATGAATAATTAAAACATTAAGGTTAAAACTTATTACTTTGTATACAAGTACAAAATTTACCAGACAAACTTAAATATTAAGTTAAAGACCCTCCAAAATTGCATATAACACAAATTTACCCGATTAATTTAGATATTTAGGTTAAAGCCCTAAATTTTTTTTAAATAAAATAAAATAACATATCCTACAATAATATAATACAGATTTACCAGAATAATTAGATTTTTTTTAAATATTGAGATTAAGACCCTACTATATCATAAATAATACAAATTCATGTATTAAAGCTTATCAAGCTACAATATTATTTATATAACACAAGTTGACCAGACTAACTGTGTTTTTAGGGTTAATAATAAACTACTGCTGCGTGGCCGGTGTAGTACCTCTGACGCCCGTTTGGAGGCGCTGTTCAACCGTCTAACACAGCTGCAGACATTATGTAACCCAATTCATTGTTGGCAAACATTTACAAACACACTGAAACCAAATAACTAATTACAAATCGGCGTTTATCAGGAGAAATGTGCGCTACCATGACGCTAGCTAGTTAGCATTTTAAGCTAACACTCGCAAACGACGCTACAGTTGGCTGACTGACTGTTAGCTTCGCTAGCCAGCGCTAGTTAGCCAACATTAGCTAGCCGGCTAACCTGCGTTGGAGTGAGCACTTTTCCGAGCTCGTCGATTTCAACAGAGTCGTATTTGATGGTCAGAGGCTGTGCCGGCTTTTCTTCGACCTCCTGCAGGGCCAGAGCTCCGCTCCACTCACTCAGATCTGCGGGCATTTCTCCTGTAGTCTGTTTGCACACGCTGCTGACTGAACCGCTGTTCGCTGCACACACGCACTGCCCAAAGTGCTGCGTTCAGGCTCCACCACAAGATGTGGGAACTGGGAAGGACTGTGTGTATTTAGACAACAAATTGAACCACAACAACCCAAAATACATTTTTTAATTGATCTAAAATCAATTTTGAACAAATTAAAGTCAATAATGTTGGTTTCTGAGTTGGCTGCTTAGTATTTAAAAGTAAGCTCCACCAGCTATGAGCGTTAGCAGATGATGTTGCTAATTCTGTTGCCTGTTTGCACATCTTAGTGGTGAATTTTTAGTGGTAAACGCTGATATTCCTTCACATATATGACAATAAATCAAACAGTAGTTACATTGCCTTTCTGGTGCCTCTCATTTTCGTACAGTGTTTATGAATAATATTTTTCCGAGTATTTGACGACATTTGAACTACACAAACAGTTCCAGCTGCACGTGGCCGCCAGGAGGCGCTGTCAGCTGCACAACACGTGGATTGTGGTTCGCTCAACTTTCTGTCAATCACATCATCCGTCCTGAACGAGTCCTGCCTCCAGCTCACATGCTCCATTAACACACTTTCTGTCTCCAGACATCCCAGTTTTAGAAACTGGGATCTGATTATGACACAAATGTTGACAGACTTTGGAAGTTCAAGAATATTTTGTCCTCTTTTAAACACTGAACATCTTGTGTGTATGATTCTATCTATTAAGATTCCGTGTTGTGCATTGGATGGTCATAACTTTGCATGAATATATGATAATAAGTCGAGTATTTTTGTTGTGGTGCAATAATTGAATGTCTTAAAACACACAGACGTGACAAAATGTCGTTCTTATGAGCTTGTTGTATGTTTTAATACATTTCTGACCTTTTTATTGATCTAAATTGCACACAAACACTCACACTCCCCTTGTGTAGAAGCTCACTTTATTCTGATTAACAGCTATTCATTTATTGCACCCAACAGCTGCTGAGTTGTAGTTTCCTGCCTGCTCTGCATTTGACTTCATCATTCAGAGTATCGTGTGTTTTTTTGTATGTTTTATACAAATGACAGGTTTATTAAGTGAAAATCACAATAAATGTATGCTACCAGTACACAGTATGATACTTTTATTCCTTCTGCCATATTATAATACAACACTTTAATCAGGGGCCCAGTTCAAAGTCAATGACAATCTGCTCAAGTTAACCACGTGGAAACTGCACTTGTTTTTTATTTACTGTTTGTTTTGTTTTTGTTGTCCCAGATAACATGGAGACCATTTGTTTACTCCAAAGGGAAGATAGTTTTTCTAGCCCATGGACACTGGCAACGTAAAGTATTTACAGTTTCAAGTGGTATAAACCTTCAAAATCACAAGTGAGTATTTTAGCAATCATTCAGTTTTGGCAGGTGAGGGTCCTAGAAGTGGAGGTCTACAACTGTGGTCCTGAAACTGCAGCTTCCTCTGCTGTAAACATCTTATTTCACTAGTTGTACATCCTTGATTCCTTTTAAAGCTCCTCCAGCAACATCTTTGAGAGATGTCCTGTGCATCGGTGCACCAAAATTGATTTCCGGTTTACAGGCAGGAGGATGGAAGACAGAGGAGAACGTAGAAAACAACAGTATCGCACAAGGTTACTCTTTACAAAGCAAGATCATTTCATTGCACCGATTCTCAGGAGCACAGAGGAGACGATGGAGCAGAAATGAGCAAATGCATATTTTAGGATTCTCCTGTGTGAATCAGATATCGCAGTGGTGGTGGTGTTCGTTTTTGCAAAACTTTAAAAAGAAGGATTTCCGATGGTGCTAAACATTTGATCTAATCAAGAAAAATATATTTAATTGAAATAGAAACCAACACGTCTTGACAAATTTTACGTTCCTTGTAGAAATGGAAAAGAACTATTATTTCACTCATATAAATATATATATTAATATATTAACAAAGGCATTTTAACGTTGTACTTAGCGGAAAAAAATAAGGATAACAAATAATGAAAGGTTCCCTGTATTGTTTTAGACTATGGAGGTTGCTGTAGTTGGTGTTTATCTGTGAGGAAATTGTGTGCAGATAAAAAAAAGAAATTTTACAGTAGCACAATGTAACCTTCATACGCATTGCTTCTTAGTCCTGCAGTCCATGATGTAATATTCTGTGTGTCTGTTTTAAGAATGTTGTTTTAAATTGATGCTTTTAAAAAAAAATTAAATATTGATTCCATTGAATGTGACAATAACAATATTGCACAAAGTTATTGT